TACTGGGTGATTCTTAGCAGTTTCCGGATGAATGATGAATTCGTGAAACAAGTTTTCTTTATTGCAGGAGAAATGAGAAATATAGTCGACGGAAAAATTTTGTAACCAACTTGTATATTAAAAGGCGAATAATGATCTCGATGATACACTAGTTGGTTAAATAACTATTACATATCTGGTAGGAAAATGACCGTTTGAAATAGTGTAATCTGAAAGTGGGTTGTGACAAAGTGCCTTCAAATCTGATATTCACATTGTGGACATCAGACCGAAATATTACTCTTCTGTGAAGATACGAGGGTGTTTTGTTCACAATAAGTTGGTGCTACAGGCAGACACTGTGCAGAATCCGTCTATTTTCCATATTCAACCAACCAGCTTCAGATAGTTTATATGTGATCCTTTGACGTTTACGTATACCATATTTATATTAATCTTAAGCAAGAGTTTTGAACCTTCTGAATCTTGTTCTTGTACTGGTTCGTTAAATTTAGACCATAAAGAGTCAGTCACATTGTTCAGGGCAGAAAAAAGTTATTCATATTTTAACAGGGACAAAATTTTGGTGTGCGACGAAATTACTGTTGCGTAGTTTATTTTAATATTTAAGACGAAACAAAATGGGCTAATGAACGTCAATTTTTATTATGAATAATAAAAAAACTTGTGGTTGAAGTGGTTATTTCTAAAATTATACAGGGTGACATTGAAATGAATACAATAATTTTAAACGATATAAGAAAGCTACACGTATACCCATGAATGTCGATGAAAACAAAAGGGATCAAAATGAAATTTGAGCGTTATGGTCGTTTAGAGCCTACTTACAATTGAAACAGCTAGAATACATCGTATATAAACTGGGCGTCAATTGAAACGTTAATAGTGAAATTTTGCATCAAGTTTGACTTCTCGTAATTTCTAAAATATTGAACGAATTTTGAATTGCCGCCCAGATTCTGAATGCCTTTTTCATTGTCTTTCGGACCGTTCCTTACAGCTCCTTCTAAATTGATCAGGACCCGTGATACAGGGTGAAACAAAGTTTCGTGCATTTTGAGAAAAATTTCTCCGCCCCCCCCATTTTGTCGGAAGACCACGATGCTCATATTTTATTCGGGCATTTCATAAATAGCAACCATACCTCGGGACGTTTTCGAGTTTTTGCCAAAAACTACTGTGGTTTCTGAAAAAAAAAAAAAAGATTTGTATTTTTTTTTAATGGACTAATTTTACAGGAGTTCCATAAATGGATGCTTTTATGCATTTCAGGAAAGCGTTGGAGCAGGTATGTATACCAGGTTACTCAAAAACAATCAATAATCTATTACTTCGCAGTCTATGATAAAAGTTTTCTATCTTAGTGAGCAGTAAATCAACACATCACATCAACGAAAACAAACAACGATACCTTGTTTCTATAACAACGTATTGTTGAAACAATGTAGGTATGCATAGAGGTTATATGAATTGCCAATTTTCATGATAACGTCAGTGTTATTCGGGTCCTAAAAAATTTAAAGATGCCTCGTTCAAATCGGGTCGAAATGGAAAATATCATTAGGTAAGATCACTATAGTCATATAAACTATAATTCAGTACAGATAATTATTATTTCAGGTTACGACGATTAGGATCTACCCAAACACATTTGAGTACCATTTTCAATAAGTCAGTCATGACAATAAATAGACTGATTAATCGTTTTGAGGATACAGGTGATGTACTCCTGAAATTAGTCCATTTAAAAAACAAATGCAAAAATATATTTTTTTGGGAAACCACAGTAGTTTTTGGCAAAAACTTGAAAACGTCCCGAGGTATGGTTGCTATTTATGAAATGCCTGATTAAAATATGAGCATCGTGGTCTTCCGACAAAATGGAGGGGCAAAGAATTTTTTTCCAAAATGCACGAAACTTTGTTTCACCCTGTATCATGGGTCCTGATCAATTTAGAAGAAGCTGTTAGGAACGGTTCGAAAGAAGATGAAGAAGGCATTCAGAATCTGGGCGGTAATTTAAAATTCGTTCAATATTTTAGAAATTACGAGAAGTCAAACTTGATGCCAAATTTCACTATTAACGTTTCTATTGACGCCCAGTTTATTTCAAACTGAAATTAAGCCATTATTTTCATTGTGACAATGGTTCGAGACACTTTCGTTCATTGTTTAGCGTTTGGGAAAGTATTTCGTGAACTGCTTTATGTAATCGGCATTATACTACTAAGATTTGATAAGCTAAAATAAATACCTATCATATCATTTCATATCCTAATGGCACTTGAATCTGTGAAATCGATTTGATGGTAAAAAAAATTATCACTCCAGAATTTAGATAATTATGCACTCAGATATTTGATGATGATGCTAAATGATTTTAAACGGTGCAGCATTACATGTATTAAAATACGGTTAGTACTCGAGTGACAATTATAATTATAAGTACATACTCTACACTACTATTTGTTTATTCGATTGTTTCGATCAAGATAATTCGTCAAAAAAAAGATAATCCTTCTGAATTCCACACCAGTAATTTTCAACCAATCAAATCGGATTTTTTTGACAAATCACCATACCAACGTAACTATGCATTTTATTGGAATTCGGAATTTTTGTGACGTTTCAATGACAGAATAATATAGAAGGATATAATATACAGGGTGTTTCACAGATAAAGGGAAATATTTCAATGGTACATAGGGGTCACCTATAGGTGGTTCTGAAAATACCATATTTGATAGGTCTTAGAGTCTTCATAACGGAGATACAGGGCGATTTATCGATTTCGAATAATTATTCATTCGTCTATAAGTATTGAACTACCCAGTATATTTTTATAAAATTTTGTATGGAGCTTATACTTGGGACGTTGAATCCATTCACCTATCGGATGAAGTGAAAATTCAGGTTCGGCATCAGGAAAAATTTACATTTATTCAAAATATTAAAATAACACACTGTATGTAATAATTGACAGAGTTCATCAAAGGAATCATGAAGAGGAGGAAAAACTGAACTCGATTTGATACTTTTTGTTTTCCCGCCACCAATTCTCATCGTAACAATCATAAACAGGAAGCTAAAAGTATGTCAATTTCAAGAGTATTAAAATTATGAAACCACTTTCAATTATGATCATTTGATATATTCTTGTTGAATGATCGTTCGAAAGAACTAAGTCTCACAGTGTTTATAACAGAGATACAGGGTGAATTATCGGTTTCGAATAATTATTCACTCGTTCATAAATATTAAACTAAACATCGCAGTAATATTTTCTCAAATTTGGTATTGAGCTTACTTGGGACGATGGATTCATTGACCTATCAGGCAGAATGGAAATACAGCTTCAGCTTCAGGAAAAGTCTCATAGTCTTTATAACAGAGATACAGAGTGAACTATCGAATTATAATTATTTGGTATTATTTCCATTCCGCCTGATAGGTTAATGAATCCATCGTCCCAAGTAAGCTACATACCAAATTTGAGAAAATGTTACTGGGTAGTTTTATAATTATGGACGAGTGAATAATTATTACATACAGTGTGGTATTTTAATATTTCGAATAAATGTAAATTTTTCCTCAAGCCGAACCTGGATTTTCACTTCATCCGATAGGTGAATGGATTAAACGTCCCAAGTTTAAGATCTATACCGTATTTCAGAAGAATACATTGGGTAGGTCAATACTTATTGACAAATGAATAATTATTCGAAATCGTTAAATCGCCCTGTATCTCCGTTATGAAGACTCTAAGACCAATCAAATATGGTATTTTCAGAACCACCTTGGTGACCCCTATCTACCATTGAAATATTTCCCTTTACCTGTGAAACACCCAGTACAAGGTGACATTGTGAAAACTTCCTAGTTTATGATTTTTTGATAAGCAGTTTCCGAAAAATGCCGTTCTAAACTTACAGAAGTAATTGGAACATGCCTTCACTAAAATACATTCAAAATCTTCCTTTTTAGTTGCTATGGCAACGGCATTTGTTTTTTTAAAGACAATGTGCTCCTACCAGAGTACAACCCAATCAATTTTGAGTACTCTGATCTTTCAATAAATTTAATTTTTGGGATAAGCGTAAGGTATCAGCAAAAAAGCTGTAGTTCGGAAAATTTTAGAGATAAATCGATGAATTGAAAAACAAAATGCTCGCAAAAGAAGCCTCTTTTGTATAGGGTGTAAGCACGTAGTTCGAGAATTTTGAATGGAATCCTGTCGATATTTTCACGTCATTCGATAAAACAAACAAAAAATTCCTTTTCCAAAGGCATTCCATTTCAAAGGCAAATGACACTAGTCAAAAGAAGACTTCCGATGTTGTTTGGCTCTAATTTTTTTTCAGAATGGAAAACTTCGCTTCTGTTTTTTGATTATGTTTATCTGATCCTTTACATACCTGTTAAATTGGGGTAACAGAAATCAAAAAACAGAATCGAAGTTCTTCATTTAGAATAAAAATGATGGCCAAACAATATTCTCCTGTTGGCCCACCTTGTATATAAAAATTCGTTGTCAAGTGTCATCTGGTATGTAATTCGATTAGCCGAACTAACTTGATCAATATTGTTGAAAAGATGGATGCACAAGGTGTATTCATAATAACAATATGCATATTATTTATTCTGTAGAGTAATTTTTATTTATTTTACATTGGATTTTGACATTTAATACTTAAAGGTACTTATTGAAAAGAGCAGAATTTATCCAAATATAGTAGTATAATGTCGGAATCAGGGTTAACTCCATCCATCACACTTCGATATTTTCAGTTTCTAGATTTTTTACCATGAGTGAGATACATAACAAATACCTACTTAAAGGTTTTATGTCTATAGAAATTAGTGAGGAAACAGAATATATTTTTTCTTTTGTTCTCAGAAGAATGGTAGAAAATCATCATTTTCACTATTTCACTTCGATTCCATACGTATTTTATAACACTTGTATTTTTTTTATTATGTAACATACCTACTTTTAACAGTTTTCCGGATAAACAGTATGACCCAGAGGAATACTTTCCATGGTCAGTATGTTTTTGTTTTAGTATGCTTTTATTCCCATGTGAACGGCTGATCTGTTGATTTGCTGGAAAATTCAAACCGAATTCAAATTCCGATATTGTGAAAAACTCAGAAAATGGGGTGCGATTTTTACTTGTTTTAATTCAACCATATATTGTATATATATAAATCGTTTTTCTGCAGCTATGAAAGAAAACTGTTATTTCTTAATTGTTTCCGATAAAACGACGAGATACATTGTGTTTCTTCAATTTTTTTTCAATTTTTGAAATCTCGAATTTGTAAATTTTTCATTTTAGACTTGTTTATTATTGGTAAACTAATAGAAAAAGCGAAAAAAAACGTGGTTCTGCTCAATCGAAAAGGCTTCAAGATTATGTTTATCATTAAATCACCAAATACGTGAGGAATTTTTGCAATAAATATCAATTAACAGCAGACCGAGCGCAAGTGATGATGCCTACCAGGCAGAAACAGCAGTATCTCCCATCCATGAGATCTAGGTCTTTGTTTCCTATTGAAGTGAAAAATTGAAGTTGAACTCGGGAGTTGAATTTGAATGGCATTAAAGTTTTAAGCAATTCACACTTTGTTCCTTATAACTAGAAGCACCTAGAAGTAGTTTTCACTTTCTCTGCAAGCAGCTGTCGTGGCAAATTGCATTTTTAATTAGTGGATGTGTAGATTTAGGCATATCATTTTGTTGTTCAAAAAACTTATAATTTTTTTTCCAAATGTGAGTGTCTCTTTATCGTTTTGAATTTTTATATGCGATAAAAAATTTAACATTGTGCTGGCAAGAACTGCAGACTCAACAACTCTGTATATTTGTCTAATTCAAATCTGTAAATACCATCAAATCCTCATGTAATGTTGTTTAAAGCGACAATAAAGTGCTTAACGAATTTTTGACGTTTTTTAACATTCGATCACTTTTTTGCAAATCAACCGATTTTCAATCGGAATGCAGTGTTCAGCAGATGCGTCCTTTTTGTTTAAGATTCATTGTTCTGAACTTCTCGATGTTTACCAGTTATGACACACCAAGTGGTCAAAAAGATTGTTACAGGAATTTTTTCATCCTTCTGCAAATCAACTTTATCAAATCTTCAAGTCAAGTCATCCCAATGGTTTTGAAATTTCTGACCTTGACGATGAATCCTGAACAGAAAGTACGCATCTTTTGAACACTGCATTCCGATTGAAAATCGGTTCATTTGCAAAAAAGTTCCTCTTAATTTGAGCACTTTATACAGTGTGAGTCATGAGGAACTGTACATACTCCTACCACGAATAGAGGCCATGGGGGAATACCTAATGACTATCAGAAAGTGTCTTTTTCTCTTCTTTACCAATGTATAGGGTGAAATATGAGATTTGGCAAAAACATATTTTGGTCATAACTTTTCAACAGCTCCTTCGATTTGTCTGATTTTTTTATGGCATATTGCTCTACTGAAGCCTAATCGACTGACCTATTCAGAATCTGGAAAATCCAGGACCGTATTTGAAAACTTCCGATCGTTTAGTTTTCATCAAAAAGTTCATCCTGTATATGGTTTTTGTAAACAGTGGCAAGGAATTCTCAAAGCACACAAACGAGCATCACAAAAAAATATTCAAAATTCTCCTCACACTTCCACAGAATTTTTCAAAAAAAAATTAACTATAAGCAAAAACGAATACCTACAAGAAATGTTATTCTTTCGAAAATAATTACTTCGCAACGCATAAGTTTCACAAATAAAAGTCAGACTCACATTTTCAATACTGTACCAATGAAAATCAACATGTTCTTTCATTTCCATGCCTGGATTTTGTCATTTCATTTTTTGTGGAGGGTAAAAATCACCCTGTAGATCTTTTTCAAATCAGTGGATGGGGTATATGATTCAAATAATTCAAGATAGTCAAACAAAAAAATAAAGGTTCACTCACAATTATTTCCCAAAAGCTATACTGACAAAGACGGATAATAATTCTAGTACGGAAAATAAATGATGTTGATTTGTGACCTTCAAAAATTATCTGTAACAGTTTACAAAAACGATATACAGGAACAACTTTTTGCTATATCAACATTTTTCATGGACGGTCCTGGATTTTCCCATTCTGAATAGGTCAGTCGAAGTCGCTGTTGGAAAGGACCAAAGATGTTCTTGCCAAATCTCATAATTCACCCTATATATTGGAAAAGAGATGTAGAAGACACTTTCTGAAGAGACATTAGGTATTCCCATGAGGGGCCTGTATTCGTGGTAGGAGTATGTACAGATCCTCATGACTTACCCTGTATAGATTTGTTTCGATACTTACGTGTATAGCTTGTGAAATTTACCTAAATTGTTAACGAAAAGTTGAACTTGTGCTGTTTCAAAAATACTGATGAATTTTTGTGTGTAGTTTTGTAGCTGGTGTGATATTGAGAGAAAGAATCCCTGCTTTCGAGAGAATGCTATGGAGAGCATGCAGAGGAAATGTTTTTCTACGTCAAGCGGAAATTGAGACGCCATTGGAAGACCCATCAAGTGTGAGTATTACAATTTTCCGAATTATAACCAAAAAAATATCTACACTTATAATAAAAAGAGGAATGATTTGATTGTTTGTTTGTATTGAATAGGCTCCGAAACTACTTGACCGATTTGAATTTATATTTACCATTAGAAGCCTACATTATTCCTGATGAACATAGGCTACTTTTAACCGCTGGAAAATGCTTAATTCCTACGGGAAAACTGGTAATAGGACAACGTGTAGTAACGATTTTTCTCCCGTACTCATCTTCTCAACATATAACTTTTAAATGGTAGAACCCATTGGGTTGAAATTTTATATGGGTATAATTCGATGGTTTCCTGGATGATTTAAAAATTCATAATGGACGAAGTAGAGATGTAGAGGCTGTTGGTACGTCAACCACTAAACGGCTTGACCGATTGGGTTGAAATTTTCAATACGTAAAACAAAAACAAAAAATACAAACGATACTGAGAGGATGAAAATAGGTGTAAGTTTACAGGCTGATTCACGGTGGATGACACATTAGACGTTTTTCTGGAGAACGCAACTCAGGATTATTCTGCAAAGTTGGTGCCTTGAATAATTAGTTGTGTTCTATCGACCTAATATATTCTCAGCATTGCGATGTTGCCGCTTATATTGAAAAGTTTCAACAACTTTGATTTCTCATATGGGACACCCTATATATTATCTCATTTTCAGATTCTTCCTGAAGAGCTGATTTCATTGACCTATAACACTTGGGGTCTAGCAGTTATAATGACAGTTATAGGATTTGAAAAATCGAGATTTTTCAACTTTACGAATTTTTTGTGTCAAAACTATTTATAATTGGTCAAAACGGTTTCCATGTCCCTATCCCAACATTTTATTCACTATTAATTGATATTTAATTGAAATGAATACAGGGTGGTTCAGAATTAAGATTTTTGACCACCCTGTATCTATTTCAATCAAATATCATTTGATAGTACGTGAAAAGTTGAGATGGACAGACATGGAAACCGTTTTGACCAATTATGAATAGTTTCGAAACAAAAAATTCTTAAAGTTTCAAAACCTCGATTTTGAGGAGTAAAACCCTATATCTTTATCATCATCCCCGCTAGACCCCAAGTGTGTAGATCGATGGAATCAGGTCTTCAGGGACTCAGGGAGAATCTGAAAACGAAATGTTATACAGGGTGTCTAATTGAAAAAATCAAAGTTGTTGCTATTTTTCAATATAAGTGGCAACGTCGTAGCGCTGAGAATATTTCAGGTCGATAGAACAGAACTTATTATCCGAGGAACCAAATTTTCAAAACAATCCTACGTTGCGTTCTCCGAAAACGTCTAATGTATCATTTACCGTGAATCTGCCTGTATAATAGTTGCTATAGGTAAGCCCAAAAGAATAAAAAAATATGTAGATACGCTCAGAACGCGTAGAATGATAATATCTTATTTTTTTAAATTGGGTACACCAAACGTGCGACAGCTAGTCATTGAATACAATTTAAAACCTATGCACTTATTTTTTGATTTTGATAGCTACAAAGTGTTTGCAACTATCAAAAGACTTCATGTTAGAAAACTGTTTGTGTACATTGTACATAATATACAAGAGTGGGCCTAGCAAGGACCCTTGTGGCACCCTATTGATAATGTAACGGGAAGGCAACAATAACAGCAGTATAGGTTTGAATGGGGCAAATATTTTTGGGATCATGAACTCGATTTGGTAATTAGTTGTATCAAATTTGGACTAACCTGAAAATCATTCCATTGTATTCTAATCAGTATTAGTGAATTCCACTGATTGTGTTATTACCAATTTTTTTTGAATTTTGTATAAATGAAAGCGACAGCAAAAAAATATAAAAAAACAATGAGTGTGACAAACTTGATATTGCTGATTTTTTGTAATTATCATAATGTAGTCAGACATGCTTTGACTTAGTTTGAAGAATTAGAAACAGAATGAATAATGATATATGATCAATGTGTCAGAGTATTAACAGGTTTTGATCAAATAATCAAATGGATATTTACCTCGCCTTATAGTTAACAATGTCACTTAAAATGTAATTTCCGCTTTATTATCAATACCAGGAATATAAATTGTTTACTTCAAGGCGACAATTCTGTTCAGATATTGTGTCATTCAATCAGTTGAATCAAACGGATTGTTTAGGCAAATATACAGGGTTTTTTACTCCTGATGAATGGGTATATAAAATAACTATTCGCAACACAAAATAAGCGTAGATCTACTTTTTATAACTGAGAAAGTCATCTAGATTTCTCCAATTATGAGATCTGGTCCTTTCATAACTGAGAAATCTACTTTATCGAAACATCTAAGTTGTTAGATCTAGTTCTCCAGATCGAAGATCTCTTTAGTTATAATATATCTAGTTCATCGAATAGGAGACCTAGATCAACTAGACTAGAACTACATCTGTCCAATTAGGAGATCTATTCTTTTGTTGGACGAAACAACTTGATCTCATAACTAAGAAATCTATCATTCTTATTAGGGAGTTATGACATTTGTATCTTTGAATAAAAAAATTACATCTGATGACTCAGAGGACTACCTCTCATAACTAGAAAAAGCACCTAGATCTTTGCAATTATGAGATCTAGGTCTTCTATTCAGATAGTTAGATCTCATAACTAAGAAGTATATCTTTCATTACTCAGAGATCTACCAAGATCGCTGAGTTGTAAGATCAATTTTTTTTAATAGAAGAACTATAATAACTCAAAGATCTACCTACCTACTCATAACTGATAAATTCAACTAGATCTCAACAGTTATGAGATCTAAATCTTTTATAACTGAGATATCTTCTTTAACTAAATCTCTGTTATTAGATCTAGTTCTTTAGGTAGATTAGTTTTATCGAATAGAACTAGATCTCATAACTATGAAATTTACATCTCATAAGTAGCAGAGATTTTCCTTGATTTGTCCAATTATGAGATCTGATTTTTTGTTGACCAGAAGAACTAGCTATCATAACTAAGGAATCTATATTTCTCAACAGGGAGGTCTATCAGACTTCTCAGTTATGAGATTTCGTTCTTCTACATCTCCTGACTCCTTGGTCTAGCTCTTATAATTAAAAAAGAAAACACCTAGATCTTTCCAGTTCTGAGATCAAGTTCTTCTATTCATAGAGCTAGATCTGATGATTAAGAAGTATATCTTTCATAAATAAGAGATCTCTAGATCTAAAAGTTGTACGATCTACTTATTTGAATCAAAAGATCTACCTATCTCACATAACTGAACGATTATATCTCATAACTCAGAGAATTACCTCTCATAACTGAGGGATTTACCTTCCTAGATTCCTGAGTTATGAGACCTAGATGTAATTCCTCTTCTGTATCGTATCAGCATAGTAGTTAACTTGTAATACTACTCTGTAGGCTATAAATAACTGTTTTGTAATATGTTCAACGATTCTACCCACTAAATGGCTATAACGTCAAGGCATATCATAGTTAGCAGACCGAGAGCCACTGATGAGGCCTGGTGGGCCTAAACAATACTCTCGCTGACAAAGATTCTATTCGTCCTGGATCTGTCAGTTATGAGATCTACATTAATTTTTAGGGCGATCAAGTGTACAAATCCGTGTTCATAATCTTCTTCCAAGGCGATCAGCTGAAGACGCGCGTAAAGAAGATTTGCGAAGGATTCAGGGCCACCCTGTACCCTTGCCCTGAGGCGCCGGCGGACCGTAGGGAGATGGCCATGGGCGTTATGACGAGAATAGAGGATCTCAATACGGTGAGTTGTTTGAAAATGAGATAAAATAAGATGAAGTTTTGAAGAAAAAAAAATGACTTTTTTTCTTCAGAAGTGAATGTGACCTCTTTGAGGAATGTAGATGGTTTCTACGATTTAAGATACAGTGTGTTTCAGTCCTTTTCCATCCAAGTTTCTACAGCAATTTTTTTTCACATGTGACGTTGTTTCAATTGGTGTGGCGTGTTTGACTAATTCTACAAATGTAGTAAGATTGATGAAAGCAGGAAGAAAACTATGAGAATACAGTATAGTAAAGGTTGGAAGAAACTTAGATACCGACTCACTTCGAAAATTATGTTATTATGTTTTCCTCTGATAGGTATTTGATCGATCTTCTGTATAGGTACTTTGATGGCTTGGTTGAATCAGCATACATACATTGGATCGGTTGGCTCTTGATAAGTTCCACGTTCAAAGTTCTTGGAAAGGCTTCTTTATTGGAATCCGGCTCGAAGGACCACAAATGTATGGAATTCATACCATACGTGTTATTTCGCTAGTTCTCTGGAGTTTATATGGGTTTTCTGACTCTCCGTTCATACTATGAATCAGAACCAATTCGGTTTTTCAATCTGTATTTATTATTTAGCAAGAGTTTATTTTCTCTCTGGAAACCAAATCCCTGGAAATTATATCCATGGAAACCTAATTGAATCGTAGGTCTATTCTAAATATGGAACAGGATATTTCTTCGTTTCTTCAACGCTAATATTTATTTATTTATATTTTACTTAGTTACTTGTCCACAACACACCAAGATTTTCAGTTGCCGGTGACAATCATGATCTGAATCACCATAGTTACTGAGGTCGTTGATATGGTAACAATCGATGATGTTTAAGTATGAAATGACAGAATGGTGGATCTTGACAGGAATGCGAACAATTTCTATGGTTAGGATAACAAAAAAACAACTTAGTTTGAAATAGGAGTCACTGGCTCACTGAAAATATCGTCAGTAACGGCGATCTTTGGATATTTTTTCTCAGTGAATAATAGTAGATTGTTTTATTAGGATCAAAAGTGACACTTTGTTTCACAAGCGAATTTTGCATTTGCGAAGCCGAGTGAAAGCAAAATATGTGAAGTAACCACCAATGCCGTGCCATATGTATGCAATGCAACGAATAATCCGTGTGGTGAGAATATTGTATTGTAGTTTCAATTTAAATACAACCACAGAGTGACATATTTGTGTGTGGACCAGGTGCTCTAATGGCAAATTCCGTGCCGGTGCCAGGTATAGGAACAAGACGTGGAAAATGTTAGGTTAGTGAGCATATCAACAAACATAATAGCGATTATTTATTCCTCTCCATGCTCCACCGTGTTTGGCTTGATAATCAAATGGAGGTAAACAATATTGTTGTTTGAGACAAAAAAACTATTGCTGGCCGTGATTATTCAAAAACAGATCAAGCAAGTATGTGAATCTTGAAGAAAACAAATCAGTTATGCGTCCCAACCCAAATAACGAACCGTAACAATGTTGTTTATTCTTGATGACCTCTAGTGAATCCTTTTTAGTTCCTAGAAGCTAAAGTTCAACTTAGTTCCTAGGAACTAAATGTGTTGCCTAGCAACAAACCTATTTTTGTGTCAGTAATAGGAACGTCAATTCAAGAGCTAATTTTGGTATCAAAATGGACGACTTTCGTGTCGGTTGCAGAAAAACCATATTATATCTCGCCTACTAGATTCAAATTCATAGTTACAATGCTTCAAAGATGTTGATATAAAAAGAAAGTATTTTTTGTTGTTGGTTTTGTAGGTGCTCGGTCAAACCCAGGACCACCGACACAGGGTTCTGGTGGCCGCGGCTAAAAACATAAAAAATTGGTTCGTCAAAGTGCGCAAGATCAAGGCTATCTATCACACCCTCAACTTGTTCAACTTGGACGTCACTCAAAAGTGTCTGATAGCGGAATGTTGGGTGCCCGTATTGGATTTGGAAAACATCCAGCTGGCACTCAGAAGAGGAACAGTAAGTTATTATATCTATTCATTTATCCATGTATCTGTTATGCCTTCATTCGTATACTGGTTCATTGATTCGCATTTTTTTTTTTCAACAAAAAGGACCCCGCACCACAATAGGGGGGAAATTGGTTTTCGGTGAATTTTCTTGAATTTCGGATATATCGTAGAACTCGTGATGCCGATCAGATGTCCCAATTATCAACGCTCTAAATTCAATAGTTTGTATTATACAGGGTGCTAAAGTTGACTTTTTCAAAATTTGGACTTTTCTTTTTCTCTTCTAGTTTTTAAATAGAATCATCAGTCAATTCCATATTTTTGAAAATATTTTCGGTCGATTTTAAGGTGCTAATATCATCATTATTGTCACGGTAACTTTCAAACTGCTAGAAATTTACCGCAAATAAAAACTGACGTCACGATTTCGTAAGTAGGGGCAGACCATAGCACAGTTGCCATATGTTGAAATACGAATGGGAATTCAAAAATATTATCAATTTCATAATCCATAAATTCTCAATTTTGTATCAAACGTTTTTCGTGCTTCTGCGCAGGAGCGCAGCGGCAGCTCCGTCCCGCCCATTCTCAACCGCATGGACACGCCCGAGGATCCGCCCACCTACAATCACACCAACAAGTTCACCTCCGCCTTCCAGGCTCTAATCGACGCCTACGGTATGGCGTCGTACAGAGAAATGAACCCGACGCCCTACACCATCATCACGTTTCCCTTTTTGTTTGCCGTGATGTTCGGTGATTTGGGCCACGGGTTCGTGATGGCGCTCTTCGGTGCTTGGATGGTGTTCAAGGAGAAACCTTTGGCTGCCAAAAAGTCTGATAACGAGGTGAGTTTCCACAAATTCCTTGTTTTTTTCTGCAACTACTTCGGTTCTGCCACAAAACAGCGTGTAACGAAATAACGTGGACCAAACAGCGCTCAAACAAGCTAGCGCCTACAAAACGGTGCTAAACGAAATGGTACATTGAAAAATAGTGTTATACGTCAAGAACTTTCCTGAGGATCAACTGTGTGACATTATTCAACAACGAGTAACAAAACAGTGCATGAAGAACGAGGCTGTAATGAATCGACGCGTTAAAAACAGAGCTGTGACTAAACAACGCGTTACAACACAACGAGTAACGAAACACTGCATACAAAACAGCGCTGTAATAAAACGGTGCGTTAAATACAACGCTGTAAAAAACGGCGCCCAACAAAATGCTGCGTTGAAAAATAGCGCGATGGGTCAACAACTTCTCTGACGATCAACCGTGAGTCATTATTTAAATGGGTTAGTTTGTTTGATCGACGCCTACGGAATGGCGTCGTACAGAGAGTTGAATCCGACGCCCTACACCATCATCACGTTTCCCTTTTTGTTTGCCGTGATGTTCGGTGATTTGGGTCACGGGTTCGTGATGGCGCTCTTCGGTGCTTGGATGGTGTTCAAGGAGAAAACTTTGGCTGCCAAAAAGTCCGATAACGAGGTGAGTTTCCACAAAATCTGTGTTTTGTTTGCAACTACTTCGGTTCTGCCACTAAACAGCGTATAACGAAACACTGTGTAGCGAAATAACGTGGACCAAACAGCGCTCAAACAAGCTAGCGCCTACAAAACGGTGCTAAACGAAATGGTACATTGAAAAATAGTGTTATACGTCAAGAACTTTCCTGAGGATCAACTGTGTGACATTATTCAACAACGAGTAACAAAACAGTGCATGAAGAACGAGGCTGTAATGAATCGACGCGTTAAAAACAGAGCTGTGACTAAACAACGCGTTACAACACAACGAGTAGCAAAACACTGCATACAAAACAGCGCTGTAATAAAACGGTGGGTTAAATACAGCGCTATAAAAAACGGCGCCCAACAAAATGCTGCGTTGAAAAATAGCGCAATGGGTCAACAACTTTTCTGACGAACAACCGTGAGTCATTATTTAAATGGGTTAGTTTGTTTGATCGACGCCTACGGAATGGCGTCGTACGGAGAGATGAACCCGACGCCCTACACCATCATCACGTTTCCCTTTTTGTTCGCCGTGATGTTCGGTGATTTGGGCCACGGGTTCGTGATGGCGCTCTTCGGTGCTTGGATGGTGTTCAAGGAGAAACCTTTGGCCGCCAAAAAGTCCGATAACGAGGTGAGTTTCCACAAATTTTTTGTTTTGTTCGCAACTACTTCGGTTCTGCCACTAAACAGCGTGTAACGAAATATCGTGGACAAAACTGCGCTCTAAGAAACTAGCGCCTCGAGGCACTCGGCAGTCGAGATAAATAGCGTTGTAGGTCAACAACTTCTCTGACGATCAACCGTAAGTCATTATTCAAATGGGTTAGTTTGTTTGATCGACGCCTACGGAACGGCGTCGTACAGAGAAATGAACCCGACGCCCTACACCATCATCACGTTTCCCTTTTTATTTGCCGTGATGTTCGGTGATTTGGGCCACGGATTCGTGATGGCACTCTTCGGTGCTTGGATGGTGTTCAAGGAGAAACCTTTGGCTGCCAAAAAGTCCGATAACGAGGTGAGTTTCCACAAAATCTGTGTTTTGTTTGCAACTACTTCGGTTCTGCCACTAAACAGCGTATAACGAAACACTGTGTAGCGAAATAACGTGGACCAAACAGCGCTCAAACAAGCTAGCGCCTACAAAACGGTGCTAAACGAAATGGTACATTGAAAAATAGTGTTATACGTCAACAACTTTTTTGAGGATCAACTGTGTGACATTATTCAAGAACGAGTAACAAAACAGTGCGTAAAGAACAACGCTGTAATGAAACGACGCGTTGAAAACAGAGCTGTGACTAAACAGCGCGTTACAACACAACGAGTAACGAAACACTGCATACAAAACAGGGATGTGATAAAACGGCGCGTTAAAAAAAACGAGTAACGAAACAGGGCATACAAAGCGGCGCCCAATAAAATGGTGCGTGGTAAAATAGCTTCATAGGTGAACAACTATTTTGACGATCAACCGTGAGACATTATTTAAATGAATTAGTTTGATAGACGCTGTGATGTTCGGCGATTTGGGACACAGGTTTGTGATTGCGCTCTATGGTACCTGGATTGTGTTCAAGGAGTAGCTGTTGGCCACCTAAAAGTGCCATAACGAGATGAGGCTCGCAGTTCTCTGTTTTTTCGCAGTTATATCTGCTCTGCCACTATACGGTGCTTTAAAAAACATCGCGTTGAATACAGCGCTTCAAAAAATTGCCGTCTCAGCCTGGCAGTATACAGACGACTGTAAACTACGCAAACCCCTACTAGCGATCGCTGTGCTGCTGCTAAACCGAGTCGACTCAGCCTAGCTGCGGACAGACAAAAGCGTAAACTAAGCATACCGGGTGTACCACTAAGAAAGGACGCCGGCTGTATCTCGGAAACTATTTGCCGCACAGGTTTCGAAAAAAAATATTTATGATAAAAGTGGCCAAGAAAAATCTCTGGAAATTATTTTCAAGTTTCCAAGACAGCCACTAGAGGGCATAATTGCATTGGCCAATTTAAAAATCGGGTTTTTATGAAAATTTGCTATATTAAGACATATGAGAAACACTTTTTCCATGTTCTCGAGTTGATTTCCAATCATTTCGACCAAAAAAAAATGCGCTAGCTCTTTGAATAAAAGAGGGAGGGAAGGATGAATAGTACTCTGGAAAAACTCTTATTACTACTACAGTTTGGTGTAACGGAATTAATCTTGGTCTCATTATGAAGGGTTGTTTCAGATATTTTCGATAAATCACGAATCAAGTCGATTCAAATCCCGTGGTGGCCGCTAGATGGCATCGTTTAAAAACAGCTGATTTGCCATTTTTTCGAGAATTTCAAATGGAACCATATATTTCTCCTGCTATGATATGGAAGTAAAGTAAACCAGAAGAAAAATGGTGAAAACCGCGAGTTGATAGATCTTGAAGAACCGGAGGAATACTAGGAATAATATTAAAATTCAAACTGTTAGCATGTCGAATGCCACTTCAATCGTTTTCGGCATTTTGACAAATAAGCAATCCACCAAGAACAATGAAAACTTCCAATGGTACTTCAATTATATTTTTGCGTTTTTTTTCATTCAAAGTCAACTTGCATTTTCTCATTCCTGAGCCTATACTCACTACTTACATTTCAATTAGCTATGTCATTACTAAGAGTCTCCTTCACTATTGTGAGCGATATAACAGCAGTTCGTGAAACCAAAATAAATGAATTATTAAAATCATGATTTCATAGATACAGGATATTTCTGATTACGATTATTGAAGTTAGATTTTTGTGGTGAATATTTTCATGATATTATTTCGAGTATTTCACCGGTTCCTCAAGAGGTATCAATTCGCGGTTTCCACCAGTTTTCTTCTCGTTTGCTCTACTTTCATATTAGAGTTGAATGAATATATGGTTCCAATTGAAATTTTCGAAAAAAATGGAAAATTGTCCGATTTTTTCAAACGATGCCACCACAGGATTTAAATCGACTTGATTCGTGATTCATCTGGAAGAACCAAAAAAACCCTTCATAATGAGATCAAGATCGTTGCATTCCATTACACCATACTGTAGTAATGAGAGTTTTCTCAAAGTACTATTCATCCTTCCCTCCCTCTTTTATTTAAAGAGCTAGCACAATTTTTTTATCAAAATGATTGGAAATCAACTCGAGAACATAAAAAAGTGTTTTTGAAATGTCTTGACACATAAAATTTTCATAAAAACCCGTTTATTAAACTGGGCAATGCAATTACGCCCTCTAGGGGCTGTCCTGGGAACTTGAAAATAATTTCCAGAGATTTCATTGGGGAATTGGTGACAGACATACTTGTGTAAACTGCGCCTACAATCATAATGCTCGCACTTCCAGATATGGAACATCTTCTTCGGCGGTCGCTACATAATCCTCCTGATGGGCTGCTTCTCCATGTACACAGGCCTTATCTACAACGACGTCTTTGCCAAATCTCTCAATATATTCGGGTCTAGTTGGCGCAACAACATCAACGAATCGTCCAAGATCGTGGGAACAGAGTTTTTCCTCGACCCGAAAACGACGGAAAGCTATCTGGGCACTCCGTATCCCATCGGCATGGATCCAGTGTGGCAGCTGGCCAAGAACAAGATCATCTTCCAGAACTCCTTCAAAATGAAGATTTCGATTATTTTGGGGATTTTGCATATGCTGTTCGGGGTGTTGATGAGTCTGTTCAATCACATGTAAGTTGTCTGTTTTTGGTCGGGTGTAGAAAGTAAACATACGTTCTACTATGCTCAAATTGAGAATATTCCCGTCCAACTGGAAAATTGCAAGAGTACAACCAGTTCCTAAAAAACGCAAAAGAACCTACTTAGCAACTACGGACGGATCGCACTACTATCTATTATTACAAAGATCATGGAGAAAGCTATCAACATCGAGCTCATGAAAGGAACATTCAGGTATCATCAACGATAGGCAATATGGCTTCCGTCATCAGAGATCAACTGGTGACCTGCTCGCTTAGGTCTCACATATATGGCAACAATCTATTGAAAAATATGGTGAAACCTTAGCCGTGGCACTTGATATCTCCAAAGCATTCGATCGAGTCTGGCACCACGGACTGCTCGCCAAGCTTCCATCTTATGGCTTGCCTCCCCAGCTATGTTCTCTGCTAGCTAGTTTTCTCTCAAACAGGTCTCTCCATGTAGTGGTCGACGGATTTTCATCTGACTCTCTTATCATAAATGCTGGTGTTCCGCAAGGATCAATTCTAGGACCAGCACTATTCCTACTCCATATCAACGATTTGTTGGAAGCAACTTCATGTCCACTACACAGCTTCGCGGATGATGGTACCCTCCATACCGCATTCTCTTCCAGAGCTCCAATACCAGTCAGGAAAATCAGAAACGAACGAGGAAGAATTGTTGACAACATAAATATGGACTTGGCAACAATTCTTGAATGGGGATCCAATAACTTGGTAGATTTCAATGCAAACAAAACACAATCATGCCTTTTCTCTAGAAAAAGCTGATCTCACTGTGCCCAACATAAGCTTGTCAGGAGTAACCATACCTTTGGAGACATCCATTTTGATACTTGGTATTACTATCAGCAATAACCTTTCTTGGGAAAATCACATGGGATCAATTGCTAAGAGTGCGTCCCAAAAACTTGGTCTTCTGTTTCGGGCCAGGAGCTATTTCACTTCCAGTCAGCTGCTTATGATCTATAAGGCACAGATCCGAACTGTCCTGGAATACTGTTCCCATATTTGGAGTGCAGCACCCAAACATACCCTGAAACTGTTGGATTCTGTCCAAAAAAGGGCTATTCCTCTCGTGGGTGATGCCTCGCTCACAAACTCACTCACTTCTCTGGAACACCGTAGAAAAGTTGGCGATCTGGCTCTATTTCATAGATATTTTCATGGACGATGCTCTTCTGAAATATCAACAATTGTTCCTCCCTTGGCAGTCCCCGCGAGATTAACCCGTCGAGTTGAGGCTTCGCACCCCTACGTGGTCACTTTGGAGACCTGCAGAACATCTCTTTCCAAAGACTCGTTTATTCAACGAACAGCGAGGCTCTGGAGAACACATTGTCAAGGGAGGTGTTCCCCGAGGCATATAACCTCCAAAAATTCAAGAAGAACACCAATTCCTACCTTATTTTCCTTGGTTCTCACCATGTTCTCTGAACATTACTGGATATCCCGTTTCGTGGGAACCAGAACATGAAAAATAAAATTGCAAAGTCATTATGACGTACAAAAAAATTCTAGAAAAGCACTGGCCAGACGTAATTTTGAGCGTGTAAGAACGTTTGTTCACTATCTACTGTATTATTGAGCTTCATTTTACTGATCACTGATTGTTCTGATGTCGGATGTTTTTTCTCAGGTATTTCAAGGATAAGCTGAGTATCATCACGGAATTCATACCGCAGGTCATCTTTCTTGTCTTCCTGTTTCTCTACATGGTGATACTGATGTTCATCAAGTGGTTCATGTACTTTGCGAACGTAGTTGGTGAGTTTCAACCCTTTTTGTTTTTGTGAACATTTTTCTAGATTTTTTTGCACTCACATCTAAAGAAAGAGTGAGGCAGTCAGTCGGTGTTTTATTTGTTAATCCCTGGAGATACGATCATAAAACTTGTGCATCTACTACAAGGAGGACGTATCTATTGCATATCGCCTTGAATCACTTATACCTACATTAACGAATTATTCAAACACGAATAATATTTTGGACTTTTGCAGATGACGAATCTTACAATATAGCTATGAATTTAAAATTTTTGAATTGGTTTTAGCGCGTATGTGATTGAAATTCGAATATTCGCGTTTATAGTTGTACAATAATTATTCTTTAGTGTTTGTGTTTTCGTTTTTATTTTCCATAGACTGAACTTTTTCAACCATGTCTAGTGGTACGAAATGCAGTAAGTATTTGCGGAGAAAAGAATAGACATGAATCTTCTTCTCACAAGTGAGTTTGAATTTTCAAATTTTCTTGTTTTTATATTGACCTGCACAACGGTACTATATACTGTGGTATTATCAACAATGATTGATGAATTTTAATATTTTATTATGATCAAATCAAATAATTATTCAGGAACCTAACCTAACTCAAAATCTGATCCACACGTCAGCAGTTTCCATCCTTCACTTTCCGTCCTTATGGATTCAAAAAGTACATACCTCTCATTTTGGTCCCATTTTTGTTGAGATATCATATAGGCGATGCGCCATATATAGAAATAGTAGATATATGAGTAGAACGAAATGCAGTAAGTATTTGCGGAGAAAAGAATAGACAGGAATACATCCTCTTTTCATAAGTCAGTTTGTATTTTCCAATTTTCTTGTTTATACAGGGTGTCCCATAAGTAATGGATCAAAAGAATTGGGGTGGTAGGAGGGGTCATTTGTAATCAAACTAACGGTATATGTTGTTATCAAATTGTTGATGGTTGGAAAGTTATTCAATTTTTCTGAAAAATGCGACCCGTTTGATAAAAATTAATAACAAAAAGGCTTCCATTATTCCAAATTTTTTGGGATTTTCTCTCTTCGTTTCTATAAAATAAAAATATGAATATTATTTCAATATACGTGTAGTAAGGGCAAATCAGATGATTTGCCCCAAAATGTCACTGCGTTTAAAGAATTTTCCTATCAGAGAGCCTAAAAGAAAAATTCACTAGCTCCTTTGATTGCCAACGTCACCAAATGTCATTGAAAACTGAAAAGCTTCAAGACATATAATACGACTTCGCAATTGAAAAAATCTCTTCATGTTGAAAACGGGAGCAGAATCGGTCCCGAAACGTCCAAAGATAAGTGAAAATTTGATATTTTTTCTATATACCTTCATTTCTCTTCTCCAAAAATGTTTCAATACAAATTGTCACTGACAAGCTAGTGAATTTTTCTTTTAGGCTCTCTGATAGGAAAATTCTTATAACGCAGTGACATTTTTGGGCAAATCATCTGATTTGTCCTTACTACACGTATATTGAAATAATATTCATATTTTTATTTTATAGAAACGAGGAGAGAAAATCCCAAAAAATTTGGAATAATGAATGTACCACCTCCTCGATTAACCTACAGACAGTATTTAACAATAAGAATGTTTTGAAATAACCCATATGTTATACCATTTCGGGATCTGTATTAAATGGACAACTTTTTCTTATGATTGGTTATCTCTGTGGGGTAGTTTTTGATTCTGCCAGCGGCATTAAAAAATCGACTTAAATATTTCATTCGATGACAAAACTCAAGGAAAACAAAAATTTTCTCAGGTTAGAAGTAATACATGTCATAAAATTATTTCTGGGAAAAGGTGCATCGGTGTGGATGAGATTTGTAGAAGGAAAAATCACAAATGTGACATAGTTTTATCAACAGTAAAAACACAAGAGCTTTCTTTTTATCGGATACATTTCTCTTCCTAACGAAAACATTTGCCAATCAGTAATTTTTCGAGAAAAATTGACATGAAAAAATTGCGAGACCGTATAATAAATAACTATTTTTCAGACACTGACGAAGACTTCCAGCTCGGAACCAGATGCGCCCCCTCCATTCTCATCACTTTCATCAACATGATGCTGAATCAGAAGACTGTTTATGAGCCGAGATGCGGCACTGCTAACATGTACGCCGGCCAATTGGGCTTCCAGAAGTTTTTGTTTGTGTGCGCGATAATTTGCGTGCCTTGGATGCTCTTCGCCAAGCCGCTGATGATAATGAGGGGAAGAAAGAACGCGCAGATGTATGCGGTGGGTGTTGTTTTTTCTCAAATTATTATTCTGACGTTTTGGTATTTGAATAGAATTGTCATTTTTTATTCGAATTTCACGACATTCTGTGCATAATTATCCAATTTTACAAACTTATAAAATAGCATTTTTTCTGTGACGGGAAGAAAGTTTGACATTTCATCTCTGTTGGCAGGTTATTAAATGTCACTTTTCATAATGTACTCTTTTCCCGGGGAAAAAAAGTGAGTTCTTTTTTCCCGGATATACAGGGTGGCATTGAAATAAGTGCAAATATTTCAAACACAGAGAGATCGACGTGTTCTATCGAATGGCTCCCCTTTCCACCCAAAGTTCTACACTATAGCAAATCTGACGTCACCTCTGTTGAAATTTCCATGCGATAGGCACAATCACGTGGAGTTCAATCATTTAAATTGTTTAAAAGTGGCATACTTACTTGATTTTTTTCTCGCATTTTGTTCAATTTTTGGGATAAAATTTCCCGTTAATTAGAAGAATTAGAAAAACTCTGATATCATGGGAATATTCCTTAGACTGTATCGTATTAATGTGCTGAATACTCGGCTGAATATGTGCACTCATTTCAAAAACAGCTTGTATATCACATATATATACACTGTTGATGGCTTTTGTTGTGCTATAGTTTCGAAAAATGAGTCAATAATACCGTCTCCGAGAAAGAACTGCATGTCCTTTTATCTTCCATTCGACTTCGCGGTTACGTATATTACTAAACAACCACTAAATTCTCAATTTTTTGAAATCAAATCACATAATTAGACTGACAGAAGTGACATCAGACATTTGATTACTTCAAAAGAATGATAAAGATGCCTACAACGCAGGTGTTCCTACTGTTGAAAACTCAGAATTTTACGTCGATAATTTTCAGATTTCAAAATAATGTGATATCTTCTCAATATTGATTCGTCCTTCTTCCTGGTCACAGAAAAAAAAAAAGTGTATTATACCGTTACCACCGATAAAACAAGGCCAGCATGCTCCGTGGGTGACGTCACTTAGTCAGGCCTAACCAGCGGCTCGAAACGACAAGCGCTTATAGCGCTTATAAGGCGACCGCGTATTTCGATTTTAGTTTTAGATCATTATTGAGCCGATTCTGCTTTTTTTTAAGGGCTTCCGGTTGAAAGAGGATGCCAGCTGTCAACTGAGCCCTTCTTCGCATCCCATTCGATATTATTATGGAAAAACGAAGATTCAAAGCAAAAACCAGAATAAAACACAAATACCCACCTACAGCAACCCATTCGAATTAAATATATTGGCAACAATTGTAGTGATTCAATCTCATTAGAGGTAAACTTCACACCTACTTATACAGGGCCCGCAGAACATAAACTTATCATGAGATTGATCGAAAGAAAATTGGGGAAAATGTATTTTAGTTTGATAGACATGCCGTTTGTTATACCTAATTACCTATATTTATCTTGGAGAATTCCTATAACCTAAAAAATTAGCCAGTGAGTGTTTTCAATTTCCTGTTGTTGGATTTTTCACCCATTCGCCTGGTGGGTGACGCCACACTCACTCACTCTTTGACATCATTGAAACATCGTAGAAAGGTCGGCGACCTTTCACTTTTCTATCGATACTTCCACGGGAAATGTTCTTCGGAAATCTCTGCTATCATCCCTTCACTAGCAATACCAGTCAGACGAACTAGGCAAGCCCAGTCAGCACATCTTTTCGTTGTCAACCTCGAAAGATGTCGAACAGCACTTTATCAAGACTCCTTCATCCATAGAACGGCTAGGCTCTGGAATTCATTGCCTGTGGAAGTATTCCCAACAACATATAATCTCCAAAAGTTCAAAAAAAATTCCAATACCTACCTCCTGTCCCTATCCTCCCAAGGAACGCACGATGTTCTTTGAACATTATAGGGATTCCCTTTCGTGCGCTCCAAGCGATAAAAAAAAAAAAAAAAATTGGTCGTTAGACTTGAAACAGTAATTTTTAAGTAGAGTGTTTGTAGTACATGTTGCCCCGAGGCAAATGACCGTTTTCAGAAAGAAATTTGAGAATGTATTGAGTCAGAAACCAAAGAGTCCAATGCATTCGAAATATGTTTCAAAACCCTCTTTTTCTGATTATCAAGACATTTTCCCGAATTATGTATCTCGTTTTTATCTATTTCAATTAGTAATTCCTTGATTTGATTGATATTATTAGAGATAAAAGGTGTTTTCAGATTGGCTTTTAGAGATGTTTGTATCGCTAGGTCATACAAAAATGATTCCACATTCAAAACAAAATCAATCACAACCGAATATGTAATTACGGGCCCTGGAGAATGAGACAATTTGAATAATGTGACTTTTTGCAAATCGATAATTTTGAACCACTTTTCGGGCAACTGAAAAGACTCTAATACAACTAGAAATTCTTGAAATTCTGTGTAGCAAAATGAGTTTTGGTAATATTCGAATTCAGTTTTACTTTTGGTGTGCTTGTGCCAAATTTTTAGTCTCTAGTATCAGTTTTTCATCACGACTTGTGCGTAATTTTACATCTTTCGATAAATAAGATGGACAGTTGGGAAATTGAGTGGCAATAACATCTCGTTTGAGAGCCTAGGAATTCTCACATCTATTGTTACAGTTTTGCCAGTTTTTGAATCGGTTGCAGTAGATGAAGTAATAATATCATCTTTAGTAGAATGTAATTCACATACTTTACTGTACTTAGATGGAGTCGTAAAACTTTTGCGGTGAATTGCATGTACCCACTTTTTCGATAGTTCCTTGTCCAACGGGAAACTAAAAGCATGAACTTTTGGACCACCCACATAATTCCCCCGACAAAAGGGAACACATCACTTGTAAGGCATTGTTACTTCGCCTATCACAACACGAAATATTTCACAAAACAGTAATTTCTCCGCCAATTATTTTGATGAATAAACAACAAGAGAATTCGTGCACACGCGATTTACCTACGCCACCGTTCTTAAACAAAAACAAACTGACGATCGATCGACGCGAATGCCTTGGAAGATGGCCTGAGTATGCGACGTCACGAGCTGTTTACGTCAGAGTCTGCTGGCCTTGTTTTATCGGTGGTAACGATTATACACGGGAAAAATATTAAATTTTAGCTCACGGTTTTTTGTCTCCCGACGCGTAGCTAAAATCTACTACTTTCTTTTTTTGTATAATAAATAACTATTGGTGGCCGGTTTCTTTGCCGGTGAGTGTATTTCATGATTTTATGAAAAAATTGTGTCAGGTGTCGCATCAGCAGATGGAATCCGCCACCGAGAACGGTGACGCGGAACAGCCGATGCGCAACAGCAACGCGCAGCCTCCCGCTGCTCAAGCGCCTGCGCACGGCGGTCATCACGAGGAGGAGATGAGCGAGATTTTCATCCATCAGGGCATCCACACGATCGAGTATGTGTTGGGGTCCGTGTCGCACACGGCTTCCTATCTTCGTCTGTGGGCCTTGTCTCTCGCTCATGCTCGTAAGTTGGAATTTTTTTCAGATAATTTTGCGATTTTTTACAAAATTTTCTGATATTTTGTGCAAAATTCCCGATTTTTTTCACATTTTTCCTCATCTCACAAAGTATTATGGTATTTTCTACGAAATTTGAAAAAAAAAATCAACTATTTCTCACAGATTTTCACAAAATTTTATGCAAAATAATGTTTTTTTGCGATATACATTGAATTTTCCAGTATTTTGTGCAAAATTCCTGATTATTTTCATATTTTTCATCATCTCACAAAGTATTATGGTATTTCCTACGAAATTTGAAAAAAAATCAACTATTTCTCACAGATTTCCACAAAATTTTATGCAAAATAATGTTTTTTTGCGATATACATTGAATTTTCCAGTATTTTATGCAAATATCCCGTTTTTTTTCACATTTTTCCTCATCTCACAAAGTATTATGGTATGTCCTACGAAATTTGAAAAAATATCAACTATTTCTCACAGATTTTCACAAAATTTTATGCAAAATTCCCGATTTTTTTCACATTTTTCCTCATCTCTCAAAGTATTATGGTATTTCCTACGAAATTTGAAAAAAAATCAACTATTTCTCACAGATTTTCACAAAATTTTATGCAAAATAATGTTTTTTTGCGATATACATTGAATTTTCCAGTATTTTATGCAAATATCCCGTTTTTTTTTCACATTTTTCCTCATCTCACAAAGTATTATGGTATTTCCTACGAAATTTGAAAAACAATCAACTATTTCTCACAGATTTTCACAAAATTTTATGCAAAATAATGTTTTTTTTTCGATACACATTGAATTTTCCAGTATTTTGTGCAAAATTCCTGACTTTTTTCACATTTTTCATCATCTCACAAAGTATTATGATATTTTCTACGAAATTATATATTATATATACACAAACTTTTCCATTAATTTGTGCAAAATTCTCATTTTTCTTCAAGAATTCTCAAAATATTTCATAAAATATCTCAATATTTTTGTAAAAAATTTTGTTCCTCATGCTCATAAGCTAGATGTTTTTATGAATTATGTATTTTTTCAAGGTTTTGGCAAATTTTTTCAGTAACAAATTTTTTTTTCGATATTTTGTGCAAAATTCCAAATTTTATCAATATTTTTCATCAATTCACAAAATATTTAGTTATTTATCACGAACTTTGTCAATGATGTATTATTCTTCACAGATTTTCAGGAAATTTTATGCAGAATTCTATGTATCTGCAATATTTTGCAATATAGACTAAATGTTCCTATATTTCAAAAAATATTCTCTGAAAAAATTTGCTCGCTCATTCTCGTATGGTTGAAATTTTGATGCAAGATGCAAATTTTTGAAAATTTTTCAAGTTTTTTGCGATTTTTTTCGAAATTTTGTGATATTTTGTGCGAATTTCCTGATTTTTTTTCACATTTTTGATCATATCACGAAGTATTATGATATTTTCTACGAGATTTGAAAAAAAAATCAGCTATTTTCCACAAATATTCACAAAATTTTATACAAAATTCTCATTTTCCTTCAAGAATTCTCAAAATATTACACATCTCGATATTTTTGGAAAAAGTTGATCACTCATGCTCATAAGTTAGTTTTTCTTTCGATACTTTGTGCAAAATTTCCAAATTTTTCAATTTTATTCATTAATTTACAAAATATTCAGTTATTTCTCAGGAACTTTGTGTATGAAGATGTATTATTCTTCACAAATTTTATGCAAAATAATGTTTTTTTTGCGATATACACAATATTTCCCAGTATTTTGTGCAAAATTCTCATTTTTCTTAAAAAATTCTCGAAATATATCACAATATATCGCAATATTTTTTTATATTGATATTTTTGATAAATTATGTATAATTCTTCGAATTTTCTCGAGGTATTTCACAGAGGTTTTCAGTATCTAAACAATGTTCCGATATTTTGTGCAAAATTTCCAATTTTTTCAATATTTTTCATTATTTCACAAAATATTTAGTTATTTATAAGGAACTTTTTCAAAAGATGTATCATTTTTCACAGATTTTCACGAAATTTCATGCAGAATTCTATGCATCTGCAATATCTTGCAATATAAACGAAACGTTCCTACATCAGAAAATATTTTCGTATTCTCTGAAAAAATTTGCTCGCTCATGCTCCTTATTTAGAAATTTTGATGTAATGCATATTTTCTAAATTTTTTCAAGAATTTTTGCGATTTATTACAAAATTTACTTATTTTGTGTGCAAAATCCCAATTTGTCTCATCATAAAATGATCACAAAATATTCCGATATTTCATACGAAATGTGAAAAAAATACCATTTATTATAGGTCCTCACGAAATTTTGTGCAAAATTCCATTTTTTGTTCAAATATCAACATCATTCGCCTAACTCAACTTGAATTTCCAGAATTGTCCGAAGTATTGTGGAACATGGTGTTAAGCAAAGGTCTGACGGTGGAATCTTGGGTGGGCGGGATCGCCCTGTACGTCATCTTCGCATTTTGGGCCAGTCTCACCGTCTCCATTCTCGTCCTCATGGAAGGCCTGTCTGCTTTCTTGCACACCCTACGTTTGCACTGGTAAGAACATTGATTGATTGATTGATTGTCTTTATTACCCCAAGAAACATAGTTGTTTATAATAGGGATACATAAACATTATACAAATTATAATAAGATATAACAAGTTAAAAAAAAAAAAATGCAAATAATCATGCAATATCATTTATTTGAATTATTTTTTTCTGTGACGTTTGGCATTTCATCTCTCTTGGCAGGTTATAAAATGTCACTTTTCATGAATTACTTTTTTCCCGTGGAAAAAAAGTGAGTACTTGTTGCGACCTCCAGAAACGTCTAATGTGTCATCCACCGTGAATCACCCTGTATACTACTTTTGTACAAAATTGACAATTTGTAGTTACTGATTCGCGATTTTTCCTTTTTTTACAGGGTCGAATTCCAGAGTAAATTCTACAAAGGGGCAGGTTACGGTTTCCAGCCCTTCTCTTTCGAAATAATACTCGATGCTGCCGCAATGGCAAAGGAAGAAGTTTAAACAAATTTAGTAATAATTCGATGTTTATAGTCCCTCGAAATATCAATAATAGATTTGTTGGTCGATGTGTACTTATCATTGGGAGTAAAAAAAATGCTAGGACATATTCATGAATGTATTAGTCAACAGAGATTGCGCGATTTACTGACAAGTTTTTTTTTATAATTCGTAGTAAATTATTTGAGCCGCAAAAGGTCTTGTATGTTATAACCTTCAATAAACTGTGTATCAACAAACACACATTTCGTTTTTGTTACCTGTTTTCCTTATTCCTAATAGAAGGTATCTGATATACAGGGTCACAATGTCACGACAAGCTTACACTATCTTTATATCGAGAATCAGTCGAGAGAATTTCATGAAAATGTGCATGCTTATATCCTAGAATACGCTATCTTCATTTAAAATATTTTGGACAATGCAGTGTTGCCGTTTCTACTAGAAAGTACTAGCAACATTGATATTTCAAATGGAACACCCTGTTTTTTATCGCATTTTAAGATTCTCCCTGAAGAGCTGATTTTATCGATGTATCACACTTGTGGTCTATCAGAAAATATTACAGAGATATAGGGTGTTCAAAATAGAGATTATTGCCGCAATGGCAAAGAAGTTTAAACAAATTTAGTGATAATTCGATGTTTATAGTCCCTCGAAATATCAATAATAGATTTGTTGATCGATGTGTACTTATCATTAAAAGTGAAAAAAATGCTAGTACATATTCATGCATGTATTAGTCAACAGAGATTGCGATTTACTGACAAGTTTTTTTTAATAATTCGTAGTAAATTATTTGAGCCGCAAAAGGTCTTGTATGTTATAACCTTCAATAAACTGTGTATCAACAAACACACATTTCGTTTTCATTACCTGTTTTTCTTATTCCTAATGGAAGGTAACTGATATACAGGGTCACAATGTCACGACAAGCTTACACTATCTTTATATCGAGAATCAGTCGAGAGAATTTCATGAAAATGTGCATGCTTATATCCTAGAATAAGCTATCTTCATTTAAAATATTTTCGACAATGCAGTGTTGCCGCTTCTACTAAAAAGTAGTAGCAACATTGATATTTCAAATGGAACACCCTGTATTTAATCGCTTTTTAAGATTCTCCCTGAAGAGCTGATTTTATCGATGTATCACACTTGTATAGGGTGTTCAAAATAGAGATTATTGCCGCAATGGCAAAGAAGTTTAAACAAATTTAGTAATAATTCGATGTTTATAGTCCCTCGAAATATCAATAATAGATTTGTTGGTCGATGTGTACTTATCATTGGAAGTAAAAAAAATGCTAGGACATATTCATGAATGTATTAGTCAACAGAGATTGCGCGATTTACTGACAAGTTTTTTTTTTATAATTCGTAGTAAATTATTTGAGCCGCAAAAGGTCTTGTATGTTATAACCTTCAATAAACTGTGTATCAACAAACACACATTTCGTTTTTATTACCTGTTTTTCTTATTCCTAATGGAAGGTAACTGATATACAGGGTCACGATGTCACGACAAGCTTACACTATCTTTATATCGAGAATCAGTCGAGAGAATTTCATGAAAATGTGCATGCTTATATTCTAGAATACGCTACCTTCATTTAAAATATTTTCGACAATGCAGTGTTGCCGCTTCTACTAAAAAGTAGTAGCAACATTGATATTTCAAATGGAACACCCTGTATTTTATCGCATTTTAAGATTCTCCCTGAAGAGCTGATTTTATCGATGTATCACACTTGTGGTCTATCAGAAAAGATTACGAGATATAGGGTGTTCAAAATAGAGATTTTTGTCGCAATGGCAAAGGATGAAGTTCAAACATATTTAGTAATAATTCGATGTTTATAGTCCCTCGAAATATCAATAATAGATTTGTTGGTCGATGTGTACTTATCATTGAAAGTAAAAAAATGATCCATGCATGTATTAGTCAACAGAGATTGTGCGATTTACGGACAAGTTTTTTTTTTATAATTTGTTGTAAATTATTTGAGCCGCAAAAGGTCTCGTATGTTATAACCTTCAATAAACTGTGTATCAACAAACACACATTTTGTTTTTATTACCTGTTTTTCTTATTCCTAATAAAAGGTAACTGATATACAGGGTCACAATGTCACGACAAGCTTACACTATCTCTATATCGAGAATCTGTCGAGAGAATTTCATGAAAATGTGCATGCTTATATTCTAGAATACGCTACCTTCATTTAAAATATTTTCGACAATACAGTGTTGCCGCTTCTACTCAAAAGTAGTAGCAACATTGATATTTCAAATGGAACACCCTGTATTTTATCGCATTTTGAGATTGTCCCTGAAGAGCTGATTTTATCTATGTATCACACTTGTGGTCTATCAGAAAAGATTACAGAGATATAGGGTGTTCAAAATAGATTATTGCCGCAATGTTTTTCTTATCCCTAATGGATGGTAACTGATATACAGGGTCACGATGTCACGACAAGCTTACACTAAGTTCTTTATATCGAGAACCAATCGGGAGAAATCCATGAAAATGTGCATGTTTATATCCTAGAAAACGCTTACTTCATTTAAAATATTTTCGACAATACAGTGTTGCCGTTTCTACTAGAAAGTAGTAGCAACATTGATATTTCAAATGGAACACCTTGTATTTCATCGCATTTTCATTTTCTCCCTGAAGAGCTGATTTTATCGATACATCACACTTGGGGTCTATCGAAAGAGATTACAGAGATATAGGGTGTTCAAAATAGAGATTTTTGCCGCAATGGCAAAGGAAGAAGTTTAAACATATTTAGTAATTCGATGTTTATAGTCCCTCGAAATATCAATAGATTTGTTGGTCGATGTGTACTTATCATTGAAAGTAATAAAAAATGCTAGGACATATTCATGCATGTATTAGTCAACAGAGATTGCGATTTACTGACAAGTTTTTTTTTATAATTCGTAGTAAATTATTTGAGCCGCAAAAGGTCTTGTATGTTATAACCATCAATAAACTGTGTATCAACAAACACACATTTCGTTTTTATTACCTGTTTTTCTTATTCCTAATAGAAGGTAACTGATATACAGGGTCACAATGTCACGACAAGCTTACACTATCTTTATATCGAGAATCAGTCGAGAGAATTTCATGAAAATGTGCATGCTTATATTCTAGAATACGCTACCTTCATTTATTTTCGACAATGCAGTGTTGCCGCTTCTACTAAAAAGCAGTAGCAACATTGATATTTCAAATGGAACACCCTGTATTTTATCGCATTTTAAGATTCTCCCTGAAGAGCTGATTTTATCGATGAATCGCACTTGTGGTCTATCAGAAAAGATTACAGAGATATAGGGTGTTGATTATTGCCGCAATGGCAGAGGAAGAAGTTTAAACAAATTTAGTAATAATTCGATGTTTATAGTCCCTCGAAATATCAATAATAGATTTGTTGGTCGATGTGTACTTATCATTGGAAGTAAAAAAATGCTAGGACATATTCATGAATGTATTAGTCAACAGAGATTGCCCGATTTACTGACAAGTTTTTTTTTATAATTCGTAGTAAATTATTTGAGCCGCAAAAGGTCTTGTATGTTATAACCTTCAATAAACTGTGTATCAACAAACACACATTTCGTTTTTATTACCTGTTTTTCTTATTCAAAATGGATGGTAACTGATATACAGGGCCACGATGTCACGACAGGCTTACACTATCTTTATATCGAGAATCAGTCGAGAGAATTTCATGAAAATGTGCATGCTTATATTCTAGAATACGCTACCTTCATTTGAAATATTTTCGACAATGCAGTGTTGCCGCTTCTACTAAAAAGTAGTAGCAACATTGATATTTCAAATGGAACACCCTGTATTTTATCGCATTTTAAGATTCTTCCTGAAGAGCTGATTTTATCGATGTATCACACTTGTGGTCTATCAGAAAAGATTACAGAGATATAGGGTGTTCAAAATAGAGATTATTGCCGCAATGTTTTTCGTATCCCTAATGGATGGTAACTGATATACAGGGTCACGATGTCACGACAAGCTTACACTCTATCTTTATATCGAGAATCAGTCGGAAGAAATACATGAAAATGTACATGCTTATATTCTAGAATACGCTTTTCTCATTTAAAATATTTTCGACAATACAGTGTTGCCGTTTCTACTAGAAAGTAGTAGCAACATTGATATTTCAAATGGAACACCTTGTATTTCATCGCATTTTTATTTTCTCCCTGAAGAGCTGATTTTATCGATATATCACATTTTGGGTCTATCGAAAGAGATTACAGAGATATAGGGTGTTACAGAGATTTTTCAACTTTAGTATTTTTTTGTGTCGAAACTATTCATTATCGGTTAAAACGGCTCACATGTCCCAATATCAACTTTTGATTCACTATTTACTGATATTCAACCGAAACAGATACAAGGTGGTTCAATATTCAGAATTCTGATAACCCTGTATCTGATCCGATTAAATATCAGTAAATAGTAAATCCAAAGTTGAGATAGAGATATGTGAGCCGTTTTATCATATTAACCTCATAAAAAATGTTGAAGTCGTCTTCTTCTCATTTCCAGTATTCCCAACATAAAATGTTCATTATTTTATGTTGGAAAACTGAAGACAAGGACAGATGAGGAAGAAATTTTTTTCTCTCTCAACGCTTCTCCCTTCCGAATTTGGAACCTCTACCAAAGTATATTAACGCTCTTCACGAAAAGCGTTAATATTCTTTGCCTTTACGATCATTTAAATTTTTTTGGCCAAAACAGACCTTGGAATTTTCTCGATTCCAGCAAAATCACAGAATGGGCTAAAAATTTGTATGCAGAGTGTACTCGATGTGCTTTTAGTGATTTTCTGTCCCCTGCTTGGTCACCCTTATTCCTCATCAGTCAATGGAAAATTGAAAAAAAATCATAACTATTTTGTCTACTGCTACGACAGATGCATGATTCAACTGAGCGATAATTGCCTGCAAATTTGTATACAGAGTGTTCTCGATGTGCTGAAAACGAATATAAAAACGATTTTTCTTATTTTATCATAGCTTTCAAGCTATTAGTGATTTTCTGTTCCCTGCCTGGTCACTCCAATTCCTCAGTGAATCAAATATTGCAAAAAATATATAACTCTTCTTCTGCTGCTATGACAGAAAATTGATTCTACTGGAAGAAAGAAAAATCTCTTAGGAATATGCCGATATTGAAGACCTACGGCAAATCAATAGATAATTAATCAAATAAAAATGACAATAAACATTAATTTTATTCTACAAAACCATAAAAAATATACAAGACTATAGAATCATAAATAATATCTTCTGTTGTCAAAAAGACTAGTTGACACTTTGTCTCACCCTGAAAAATAAATAAGAATACTTGAAAAGTTCGAGGTTTTCCTCAAGAAAATATTGTTTGTATGTAGTGTGAATTTTATTGAAAATGCCTGATTGTACAAAAGTTCAAGCAACAAGAAATGTCTGAAATTTGGAGAAATTGAAATTTAGAAATGAAATAATAATTTGCAAATTGACGATTCTGAAACTTAATTATTTTCTGCACTTCGTCATCGAAAGCTCTTCAAATATTTCATGTTATAATAAGGCATTCATCAATAATACTTACCAAAATATATTAATAATCCCCAAAATGAAAATGTTAGTATTAGTGAGTTATTAGTAATGGGCATTTTGTTACAGTTTGCTAGAGGAACGATGATAACTTTTCTGGCTTGATTGGTAGTCGTATGATTTTGTATCCCTAGAACAATAAAATGTATTTCGCATGATTTCCCGTGATTGAAGCATTTCCAATGCACATGGTGTACCTACAGGTCGTTGAATTTGAAAATAAAAAAATATTTTTTTGTGATCACCCTATATGGTTTTCAATGGAATAAATAAATGCTCGAAGTCATCTCCACAAATGTCAATGGTGTTGTTACACAATCAGAAGGAACATGTTTCAGTCTTATAAAAGACCATCTTCAGCATAATTGAAAGTTTTGTAGTAAAAAACATGTGATGCTACTAGTTTTTCACATTATTGTCAATGCCCATAGTCGAAAAATCGAGTTTATAAATGAAAAAACGGGATCTCAATATACTCGATTTTCCGACTATGGGTATTGACGACAATTTCACAAATAGTAGCATCACATTTTTTCAACTCCAAAACTTTCAATTAGGCTGAAGATGGTCTTTTATAAGACCGAAACATGTCCCTTCTGATTGTGTAACAACATCATTAAAATTTGTGTTAAAACTTATTTAATTTTTCAACAGATTCAAAGGAACATGAACTTTTTCATTATCATATCCAACGCCCTGTATCTCATCGCAAACGTAACTGTTTTACGACTTATGTTTATAGACATTTTTGTAGTGAAATCTTGCATGACCCTGGGATACCCTGTAGAGAGAGAAATGAAATCAAACCTGGGAATTAGTATACCAGTTCTTACTGGTGACATGCAAAAATTTTAGCTGTCAAAGAATTTATCGTAGACACTCATTTTTGAAAAAACACCCAGTATATCATGAAGACTTTTTTTGGACTATAAGTAACGAAAACCTGATACGTGATCACCCTCGTAGGCATACATCTTTCCTGCTATTCCTGCTAGGAGTTTGTTAAGGCGTCAAAACTTTCGACAAGAAGAAATCTTTTCCTAAATATTATGCTTATATTGAAAAAAATACATCACAATTAATTTAGCGCCGCAAGTAATATAAACGTGGAAACAGAAATCCCAAAAAATACAACACAATTATATGAGATTTGTGTTTTTGCGGCAGTTTTTTTTGTGGTACTTTTTTGTGATTTGAGTTTGCAATAATTTTAATAGGTTAAAAAAAACTAGGAAAAATCACAACGTCGCTGAAAATATTATAGTGAAATAGATTACTATACAAAATTTAACCTGAAAATTATTTAGATTTTCTGTTCCCGCAGCAAATTTTCTATAATAGTTTATTGTTTTATTGTTTTGCAGTAATTTTTATGACCCCAAACAATTATTACACAACTTTGGACCTGGAAATTATTTTGGATTTGTGTTTTTACAAATTTTCATGGTAGTATCTGTTTTGCAGTGATTTTTATTGACTTGAAAATAATACAGACAGAAGTCGCGGCGCCGCAAATGATATAATCATAAAAGAGATGACCCCAAATGATAACACACAACAATGAAACCGGAAATTACTTGGAATCTGTGTTTGCACAACATGCAGAAACAAATTACGGCGCCGCAAAAAATATAATCGTGAAAAAGATGACCCCGAAAAAATTCCAAGCAATACTGGAACTGGGGATTATTTCGATGTTGTATATCGCGGTGAATTTTTCGTTGTATTTTTTCGCCAATATTGTATTGCAGTATTTTTTGTCTTGTGATTATTTGCAGTCATTTTTTTTACCCCCGAAGGTGCATGAGATGACCTCAAAAAATGACACACAATAATGAAACCGGAAATTACTTTTCGCAACATGCAGAAACAAATCACGGCGCCGCAAAAAATATAATCGTGAAAAAGATGACCCCGAAAAAATTCCAGACAATATTGAGACTGGTGATTATTTCGATTTTGTATATCGCGGTGATTTTTTCGTGGTAATTTTTTCGCCAATATTGTAATGCAGTATTTTTTGTCTTGTGATTATTTGCAGTCATTTCTTTCTTACTCCCGAAGCTGCATACGATGATCCCAAAAAATAACGCACAACATTTAAACCGGAAATTATTTAGAATTTTTGTTTTCGCAACATGCAGAAACGAATTACGGCGCCGTAAAAAATATATTCATGAAAAACATGACCCCGAAAAAAATCCAGACAATATAGAATCTGGTGATTATTTCAATGTTTATATCGCGGTGATTTTTTCATAGTAATTTTTAGCCAATATTGTATTGCACTATTTTTTGATTTGTGATTATTTGCAGTCATTTTTTCCTTCTCCCGAAGCAACATGTGATGACCCCAAAAATAACACACAACATTGAAACCGGAAATTTTTTAGAATATGTGTTTTTGCAACATGCAGAAACAAATTACGGCGCCGCAAAAAATATAATCTTGAAAAAGATGACCTCAAAAAAATACCAGACAATATTAAAACTGGAGATTATTTCGAAGTTGTATATTGTTTGACAGTAATTTTTGTCTTGTGATTTTTTGTGGTCAGTTTTTCTTACCCTTGAGCCGAATATGACAAACATAGTAGGTATATCTGTGGATGAAAATGAAACAGAGGGAATACATACATATACGAAATCCTGTAGGAAAAAGGATAAGGGTACTGGATTACTGGAATGTGATATGTTTGGGTATATATCTGGAAAAAAAGGTTAATTTCAAAACAATGCTAATAGTTTATTCTGTATAAGTATAATATGGAGTTATTTACAATGTAACAATAATTATTCTCATCAACAAGATAACATTCTTTTTAGAACACAAAATCAACAAAAAAATATTGCTACCGATATTTGTATCATATAAATCGTAAGAATCAAGAAAAATGATGTAGAAAAATAAAAAAAAACTGTAACAAAAATATTAGGTAACTCATATCTGGATATCTCACATTGTCAATATATTTTTTTTTAGCTGTCAGAAGTCGTTTTGACAAACCAATTTCACTGATGGACTGATTCGGTTTTTATTGTTTTTATATAGAAAGAAGACTATTATTTAATTATTCATTAACACTTTCTCGTCAACAAATCGGTATTTTTCGTTGAATCCGATCGAATATTTATTAAAATTCAATGGTATTTGAGAACATTATACATAATCTATATAATATATTACTCAGGGTGGTAAAATTTTAATTTCAAGGGATGATTTTATGGGTGATTTCGAAATAAATAGTTGATACAAAAACAGACCCGGAAATGCATGGTTTCAAGATATTGGGAGCCAATTTTTTTTTAATCGTTTTTTTTTTGGAAATCCAACTGATTGAATTAGCCCCTTGCCCTTTAAAAATAATTTGACTCCCTGAATTTTTCGTCATGAATCACCCAAGAATTTACCCCTTCAAGTTTGACCAATAACACCCTGTATATGGTAAAAACGGAAAAAGATCAATCAGACACAGTTGGGCTGTTTTATGTTCTGATCGATATTTACTCCAAAAATCAATGATAAAAGAATCCATACACAGGGTGTTGAAACGCTGAAAAAAATCACCCCTTGAAGTCTGACCACATACTTAATTGATTAACACCCTGTATATGGTTCAAAATTAAAAAATGCACTGTATATCAACTGACTAACAACTCGTTTGATATGTAGCATGATAAAAAATTGCTAATCGGTCAGGATAAGGCAAAAACAAAATTATGACAGTGGCAAGACAAGTGAATAAATGATCATGAAATGACATTTCAAAACTGAAATCATTTTTCAAATCCGCAAATATTCAGTTTCAATTCTTGATAACAAAAGATTAGTCCCCAAATTTTACCCTCAATCACACATGCGATTTTTTTTTTCACCGACATAGTAATTTACTCAACAAGTGCGGAAAGTGATGATTTTCCGCACGCGATAGCAGATAGCCGAGTTCGGCTTGTAATCGCGTTCGGAAAAGTAACTTTACGCACGTGCTGAGTACACTATTTTTTCTACCAGCGTGCGGAAAAAACCCAAGAGTAAACATAATGAATTATTAATCAATATAAAATATTCAAATATCAGCATGCTCCCCAGAAACTTATCTAATTTACTTTTCCGCACTAGTGCGGAAAAGTGACTCTTTCAACACTACAATGAGTGCAGAAAAGTGATTTTTTCCGCACGCTAGTGAAAAAAAGTTATTTCAATCGACAGTCAACGTGAAAAACATGCTATTGAAAATGGATGAAGATATTTTGATTTCAACAAATACACGAAACACACTTACATGTGCTCAGGATGATTTCTGATACAGTCGATGAAGTCGCTGGGTTTCAATAGACCAGTGCAGATTTTGTGGATAGCAGTAAACAATGGAAATCTGAAAGAAAAAATGTTAAATAATTACCGGGTACCCCCACCAAATCATTCGCCAGGACGTCGTTCAGTTGTTCCTTGTCAGACTTTCGACAATATCTCGACATTCGGATCGAAACAAAAAATATTTTCATGAAAAAACAATTGAATAACACTTCCGGTTTCACCGGAAATAGCCCAAGCTCGAGAATGTTTAGAGACATCCTGTAGATATTTTCACGGCATTCGATAGAGCGAAAAATTCCCTTTTCAATGACATATCACAAGCGCACATTTGTTTCTGAAATGGCGGCGCAGGAGACATTTTTTCTAAAATCAATATGGCGACAATGTGACGTCATCGATCTAATTTTCGTCAAGCAACCTAGTAATAGCGAATAAACGAATCGCTTCGATTTGTTTTTGATAAAACATGCTGGTTTGTATAAAATCTCGCATTATAAGTAATATTTTTCCAAAATTCTGTCGACGTTTGCTGAAAAAACGTGTTTTTTCAATTCTCTCAAAAACTATATGACAAGTTTTCAAACTCTGTGAAAACAATGAACTTATCACATCACTATAAGCCATCCCAATTTGCTGTGGAAATTTTTTATTTTGTAGGGTTATTTTTGAGAATATTGTTTTTTGGTACCGGTAACTTGTTACGTCCTGTGAATGAAAGAAACAAAAAATAATCATGCGAAACATTTTCAAATTTCTATCAACAAAAAATTAACTTACTTGTCTTCCATGCCCTTGTTCTTCAACATGTAATTCACTTCTTCAGCGGTGTAAGGCCCTTGCAGCTTTTGTCCGTTCAACATCTCGTCTTCCAATTCTTTGATGGATTTTCCAGTCTTAACGAACGCCTCGCTCACCTGAATTCATCAAAATGATTGATTTTTCAATTTATTCCTGATTCATCAACATACAAGTCATCCTCAATGCCATTCTAAGGCCCCCTTTTTATACTGAAATGCATTAACGTATTCGATTTCGGCCGCAGAACAGAAGGCACGATGAACACGAACGATAGAACGAGTGTTCGACGAATATATCTGCACACGAAAATCACGTGTGTAATGACCTTCTCAACCCCCTTTACGAATAGCCCCACAAATGAATGAGTTGTAGATAAAGTACAGGATATCGACTCACGCACCTTCCTGTTCCTTCCCCCGTAGCAAGTGGTGATCAGATCTGCAACACCGCAGCTCTCGAAGAACGTAGACAACTTGCCACCGGGATAGAACACATCCACGAACTTGACCATCTCCATGAGCCCCAATCGGATCACGGCCGCTTTGGTGTTGTCTCCTAGACCGAGACCGTCCACGAATCCCGCACCGCACGCCACGATGTTCTGGAACAATTCAAGACGTACATTTTTTTGGGGTGCCGCAAGGCACGGTCCTCGGCCCGCTCGGAGTTTCAATTTACGCACCATTGTGAATTCGATTTATTAAGAAGAGAAGTTAGAATTCAATTGTTTTGGGATGCCTCAAGGCACGATATTCGACTTCCTCGGGGTTTCAATTTACGCACAGTTGTTAATTCGACTTATTTGAGCTGCTGCACTGTGTCGAGTATACAGATTGTGAATGGCAACATAGCAAGATAGACTGATTCGAGACTGCACGTCACGATGTTCTGCGAGAAGTTAGAATTCAATTGTTTTGGGATGCCGCAAGGCATGGTATTCGACCTCCTCGGGGTTTAAATTTACGTACAGTTGTCAATTCGACTTATTTGAGCTGCTGCACTGTGTCGAGTATACAGATTGTGAATGGCAACATAGCAAGATAGACTGATTCGAGACTGCACGTCACAATGTTCTGAGAGAAGTTAGAATGCCGCAAGGCACGGTATTCGACCTCCTCGGGGTTTCAACGTACGCACAGTTGTCAATTCGACTTATTCGAGCTGCTGCACTGTGTCGAGTATACACATTGTAGATGGCAACATAGTAAGAAAGACTGATTCGAGACTGCACGCAACGATGTTCTGCGAGAAGTTCGAATTTAATTGTTTTGGGGTGCCGCAAGGCACGGTACTCGGCCCGCTCGGAGTTTCAATTTACGCACAGTTGTAAATTCGATTCATGAAAGCTGCTGCACTGTGTAGAAAATAGATTATGAGTGACAACATAGCAAGAAAGACTCTTTCGAGGCTGCACGCCACGATGTTCTGCAAAAAGTCCGAATTTAAATTTTTGGAGTGCCGCAAGGCACGGTACTCGGCCCCCTCGGAGTTTCAATTCAAGCAAAGTTGTCAATTAGATTTATTCGAGCTACTGCACTGTGTGGAGTATACAGATTGTGAATGGCAACATAGCAAGAAAGAGTGATTCGAGACTGCACGCCACGATGTTTTGCAAAAAGTTAGACTTTAATTTTTTTGGGGTGCCGCAAGGCACGGTACTCGGCCCGCTCGAAGTTTAGATCTACGCACAGTTGTTTCGATTGATTCGAGCTACTGCACTGTGTAGAGTATACAGATTGTGAATGGCAACATAGCAAGAGAAATGTCGCGGTTGGATGGTCTTATTGCAGAAGTGTCTAGAGATGGAATTACCGCCCATATTCAATGTATCTGACTGTACGTCTGGCCACCACGTGAAAAGACAACCGCTATTCTCTGTGACAGCGATGTCTCAAGCAGGAAAATCACTAACTCTGATATTCTGAAGGTTTATAAATGAAAATATTTCAATCCGGCCCTGGTGCCACATTTCTTCTTGCATAAAAACATCTAAGAATGAACTTTTAATATATTCTGCACTACCACCCTTCCCTACTCAATAAAAAAGTAGTTCACCTTGTCATTCACTGATACCGCCACCTACTGAATAGAATTTCTGGATTCATTACTCTCATAAGGATGGTTCATCTTGTTGTAAATATCCATGAATGTAACGATTCGATAAAAAATCTATCTTACGGACTTTCTCATGATGAATTGGAACTTTTTCTGGATGTGTACAGTTTCATACAACAAACGGAATAATTAAATATATCGTGAAAATGTTCGTTTGAAAGTCATAGCAGAGCGTTTCTTACCGTTGAGTCACCATCAGTGCATAACTATAAGTATTTGTGAATGATTTGAAGAATATTATAAAAAATATTTGATGACTAGAAACCTAGATTGAGAATTGAATATAAAAAACATATAATTGGAGAAATTTCATTGAGAAAGTGAGAATAGGATATATTGGAATTGTTCTTGAACTGTTATGGATTCTAGGAAAAACTTCTCTAGACAAAAAAGTTCAATGCCGTTCTATAGATGAAGACATATTTCGAGGTTGACGTATAATGTTGGCCTATTTGATCCCTAGGTATTGATAATACAAAACAAACTGAGAAGATAAACATTATCGACAAATTTTGGCAAAATATCATTATCTGTAGGTATTGAGTTATTTATATCATCTCGTGAATAATAAGTGATAGATCAAGAAATAATGTGGCGATAGGTTCGTTCATAAGTGAAAAAATAAATTATATCCAAAAAGGAAAACAAATTGATCAAGTTATCTACCTTTATCTGTTTACATAACCGTTTGTAATTTACCAGTCTGCAGTTGTGAAACATGTTATTCATCATTTTGATAGCATATTAAATTCGATGGATTAAATGATTATTTTGGACTTTGGATATTGGTATGGGTTAGTTACTGAATTCGTTTGAATACATATTATAAGGAATACCAGTAATACCACAGTGAAAGAGGGTTCATTCATTCATAAAAAAATAGAGAGGTTGAGGAAACTGTCAAAAATCAAATTTCCTTCGAGGTACTTGTTTTTTTTTTCGAAGGGGTCGAAAATTGGAGTTTTGAAATTTCTCGAACGTTATCAGCATGACTTTAGGGGTGTTCATGTTTTCTCTGTAGGCCACAAATGACAATGTAAGGGGAATTTCGAAATTCCTTCAACAACATCCTATAGAAATTGAAAATTGTTACTTCTGGAGCGTACCTTCGAAATTGTTTTAGGGGGTCAATGAAAAAAAATGTTATTTTCGAGATTTCTTTAACACCATCCGAAAAAGAACCAAAAATGAGACAGAAGAATACTTATATTATTCAAAAGTAGGAAAAATACCGAAAATTTGATTAATTTGAAGTTTCTCCAAACATAAACAATAAAAATGAAAAATTGTGACGAAGTACCAATGTTTTTTTTAAATGAAAAATAAAAATTGCGAAATTTTGAAGTTTGTTCAGCACTATCCATTCGGAACTCCAGGGGCGTACTTTTTCTCGAGGAAGCAAAAAATTAAATAATTTCAAATTCCTGAATTTCTTCAAAACCGAAAATTGGGACTCTAGAGATTTTTGACTTCTGGTTAAAAACTAGAAACGCAAGAATATATATATTAAGAATTCAAGGGCGTACACATTATTTTTTAAACAGATCTCTAAAATAAAAAATTGGAATTTTGAAATTTTTTCAGCACCTATTATCAAAAACTGGAATCTGTAACTCCAACGCCGTACCAATTTTTACTGAGGTAGTCAAAAATAAAAAAAATCACAATTTCAGAATTTCTCCAACAGGCATAGAACAACAATGTAAATTGCGATTCCATGGGCGAACTTGATTCTCAATAAGGGTGCCAAATTTATTTCCCAATTTTGAAATTTTTGAGTCTGAAATAAAATCCCATATTTTGGAATTCCCCCAAAACTATCCACTAGAAACTAGAAATTGCGACTCCATTGGCACACCATGTTTCCTCTAAGGGGTAAAAAATAGAAAAATTTCCAGATTTCGGAATTTCTCCAACACCATCCATTATTATCTAATATTGAGGTTCCAGGGGCGAACTCAATTCTTTTCTGAAGGGGTACATTTTTTTCCAAAGGGGTTAAGAATGAAGAATCACAATATTTGGACTATCCAACAGGAACTTGAAGTTGTGACTCCAGGGGCGTATGTAATTTTTTTCTAAAGGGGTCAAAAACAAAAAATGCCCGAATTCAAAACTTTCCTTAGCATCATCAATTCGATAAATGAAATTGCGACCCCAGAGGCGTACTAATTTTTTTTCTAAGATAGTCGAAAATGGAAAATAAATTCCAAATTTCGGAATCTCCAACAGGAACTTAGAGTTATGACTCCAGGGGCGTACTTTATTTTATTTAAAAGAGTCAAAAATATCCAAATTTGAAAAATTTCTTCAATCTATTGAAAAACTAAAACGGTCAGCTTCAAGGGGTCGAAAATGAAGAAAATCACAAATTTTCGAATCCTCATCAGGAACTTACAGTTGCGATTCCAGGAGCCGACTTGAGTTTTTCTAAGGGAGTCAAAAATAAAAAATTACCTAATTGAAAAATGTCTTCAACATCATCTATTGGAAACTAAGAATTGCGACATCAGGTGCGTACTGACTTTTTTCTAAGGGTGTAAAAAATTACAAAATCCCGAATTTTGAAATCCCCAATAGGAACTCAAAGTCGACTCCAGTGGCGTACTTGTATTTTTCTAGAGGGTAAGATGTTGAAATTTAATAATTTTTTCAACATCTATGGAAACTTAAAATTGCGACTCCATGGGCGTGCCAATTTTTTTCTAATGGGGTCAAAAATGAAAAATTTCCAGATTTCAGAATTTCTTCTACACCGTCTATTGGAAGCTAAAAATTGCGATTCCAAGAGCGAAAAATTAAAAAATTCTAAATTCTGGAATCTCCAACAAGAACTGTGGCACCAGGGGCGTACTTGATTTTTTTCTAGAGCTCAAAATTGAAAAATGTTCAAATTCGAAAATTTCATTAACACCACCTAGTGGAAATTGGAAATTGCGACTCCATGGGCGTACCAATTTTTTTCTAAGAGGGTCAAAAATGAAAAATTTACAGATTTCAGAATTTCTTCTACACCGTCTATTGGAAGCTAAAAATTGCGATTCCAAGAGCAAACAATGAAAAAATTCTAAATTCTGGAATCTGCAACACGAACTGTGGCACCAGGGGCGTACTTGATTTTTTCTAGAGCTCAAAATTGAAAAATGTTCAAATTCGAAAATTTCATTAACACCACCTAATGGAAATTGGAAATTGCGACTCCAGCGGCGTAGCAATTTTTTTACAAGGGGGTTAAAAATGAGAAATTCACAGATTTCATAGTTTCCTCCACACCGTCTATTGGAAGCTAGAAATTGCGATTCCCAGAGCGAAAAATTGAAAAAATCCAAATTCTGGAATCGCCAACAGGAGCTGTGGCTCCAGGGGCGTTCTTAATTTTCCAAATTCGAAAATGTCATGAACACCACCTAATGGAAATTGGAAATTGCGACTCCAGGGGCGTACCAATTTCCTTCTAAGGGGATCAAAAATGATAAATTCACAGATTTCAGAATTTCATCTACACCGTCTATTGGAAGCTGAAAATTACGATTCCAAGAGAGGAAAATGGAAAAAAAAATCCAAATTCTGGAATCTCCAACAAGAGCTGTGGCTCCAGGGGCGTACTTGATTCTTTCTAGAGGTCAAAATTGAAAAATGTTCAAATTCGAAAACGTCATCAACACCACCAAATGAACATTGAAAATTGCGACTTCAGGGCCGTAACATTTTTTTGAGAGGGTCTAGAATGAAAATAAAAAACAAATTTCGGAACGCGTTCAGGCACTCACCTTGAGGGCTCCGCAAACTTCCACGGTGTCCTCATCGTCCACTACCACCACCCTGAAGTAGCTCGTCTGGATGACGTCACGAAGCAGCGGCCCCGCCAAGATGTCCTTGCAGCCGATCGTCGTCTCGCAAAACTTCTCGTCGGCCACCTCGCCGGCCAGATTCGCGCCCATCAGAACGCTGCAGGGGATCTGCAGGTGTCGGGTGATGATGTGCGATATGAGGTCTATGCCTCCACCCTCGGCACGATCGAAGCCCTAGAGAGGGAGAATCGAGGTTTTGAACTGTTTGAAACTCTGAATTTCTGGTGACACTGTATATTGGCTTTTTTTTTCACCACCCTACATACGTTTTTTTACAGCACTTTCAAACAGTTAAAAACTCGGAATTTACGTATGACACTGTATACTGATTTTTTTTTCACCACCCCGTATACCTTTTTTCACCGCCCCGTATATCGAGGCGCGTGTTAAGGTGCGAGATGAGGTATATGCCTGCACCCTCGGCATGATCGAAGAGCCCTAGAGAGGGAGAATTGCACTTTCAAACAGTTAAAATCTCGGAATTTGCGTGAGAAACTGCACATTGACATTTTTTCTTCATTGAGGTCTATGCCTTCGCCCTCGACACTGTCGAGACCCTATAGGGAGAATTATGGCACTTTTAAACAGTTGAAAATTCAGAATTTGGGTGTGACACTGTACATTGACTTTTGTTTCACCACCCCGTATACTGCGTAAGCCTTCCATCACCATCCCGTATATTGAGGCGCGTGATGAGGTGCAAAATGAGGTCTATGCCTCCTCCCTCGGCACGATCAAAGCCCTAGAGGGAGAATCGAGGTTTTGAACTGTTTAAAACTCAAATTTGCTGGTGACACTGTATATTGATTTTTTTTCACTACCCTACATACGTTTTATCAGAGCCCCGCCTATACATGGAAAATTGAACTTTTAAACAGTTAAAAACTCAGAATTCACGTATGACACTGTATATTGATTTTTTTTCATCACCCCGTATACCAAGGCGCATGATAAAGTGCGAGATGAGGTCTATGCCTGCACCCTCGGCATGATCGAAGAGCCCTAGATAGGGACGATTGCACTTTAAAACAGTTAAAAACTCGGAATTTGCGTGTGAAACTGTATATTGACTTCTTTTCACTAACCAACATAGGTTTTTTTCACAGTCCGGCCTAGAGAAGGGAAATTGCACTTTCAAACAGAAAAAAACTCGGGATTTACGTATGAAACTTTTATTGTCATCACCCCGTATACCTTTTTTCACTGCCCCGTATATCGAGGCGCGTGATAAAGTGCGAGATGAGGTCTATGCCTGCACCCTCGGCATGATCGAAGAGCCCTAGAGAGGGAGAATTGCACTTTCAAACAGTTGAAAACTCAGAATTTGCGTGTCACACTGTATATAGACTTTTTTTTCTTCAATGAGGTCTATGTCTCCCCCCTCGGCACTGTAGGGGCCCTAGAGGGAGGATTATGGCACTTTAAACAGTTCAAAATTCGGAACTTGTGTGTGACACTGTATATTACTTTTGTTTCACCACCCCGTATACTGCGTATACCTTCTTTCACCACCCCGTGTATCGAGGCACGTGATGAGGTGCAAAATGAGGCCTATGCCTCCGCCTTCAGAACGGTTGAGGCTCCAGAGAGGAAGAATTGTACTTTTAAACAGTTGAAAACTAGGAATTTACGTGTGACACTGTATATCGATTTTTTTTCACTACCCCGTATACCTTTTTTCACCGCTTCGTATATCGAGGAGCGTGATAAGGTGCGAGATGTTTATTCCTCCGTCCTCAGCACCAAAAGAATTTTTAAACAGTGATGATCTCGGAATTTGCGTGTGGTACTGTATATTGACTTTTCCCCACCGTATACCTTATTTTACCTCCCCGTATATCGAAGCGCGTGATAAGGTGCGATATGAGGTCTATGCGTCCATCCGGTCAAAGCCCTAGAGGGGAAGAATTGCACATAAACAGTTTAAAACTCAGGATTTGCGTGTGACAGTGTATATTGACTTTTTTCAAAACCCTGTATAGCTTTTATGACCGCTTCCTTCAGCGAAGCTTGTGCTTGTGCAAGATTAGGTCAATTCTTCCGCCCTCGGCAATGCCGAAGCCCTAGAGAAGAATAATCGTGTTTTTGAAGTGTTTGAAACTCCTAATTCACGTGTGACACTATACATTGACTTTTTTAACAACCCTGCACAGCTTTTATAACCGACCCGTATATCGAAGCGCGTGATACTGTGCAGGATGAGGTCTATTCCTCCGCCCTCGGCAAGGTCGAAGCCCTAGAGAAGAATAATCGTGTTTTTGAAGTGTTTGAAACTCCTAATTTGCGTGTGACACTGTATATCAACTTTTTTCACCCCCTCCCCCCCCGTATACCTTTTTTCACCGCCACGTATACCGAAGCGCGTGATGATGTGCGAAATGAGGTCTATTCCTTTATTCCCTCCTACCTAGATAAGTAGACAATCGCGTTTTTGAACTGTTACGAACTCATTTTCGTGCGACAGTATATATTGATTTTTTTTACCGCCACGTACATTTACTCTTGATATCAGCATTAGTCATTATAGTTCTGATATTAGTTGAAAACTTATACAGAAAAATTCTATCCCAAGGTATTGGCAACAATTTCAACCTCAAAAATCTTGCTCCGAAATATTTTTTGCAATTTTCTCGATTTCAATTGATTTTATAACCAAAATACATCGAGACAAATAAAGAGATACGATAATTTGATAATTTATCGTCTTGTTTCTCATAATTGGAGTCATTTTGGATTATCTTCATAGGTAAAAATTGTTACAAGCTCCAAATTTGCGTGCGACAATGTGTCAACTGAATTTTTTTCACCATCCCGTATACTTACTTTTGCTATGAGCATTAGTCATCATGATCTGCTGATATTAGTGTAACGTTATGTCTTGATACAGAAAATGTTTATCCCTAGGTGCTAGTGTGATTTCAGGTATACATTGATGTCCTGAATAACATAACGAAAGAACCTGAGGTAGGAGACTACGCCAGACATTTGGCAGAAATTTAAGCGATTTTTTCAAATTTACATTTTTTTTCTGGATAAATAAAGCAATTAACAACATAACATTTTGGTTTCATCAGCTTTCTTACTCTGTTCTCAATGTGAAAATGTCAAAGAGAACAAAAAAATCCCCATCCTTGAAGATGGAGAAAGCAAGAAAAAAATCAAGTGTCGAAAAAGTTATGTATTTGATTGGTTTGAAAATGTTCACCTTGTCAAAACTACTTCAGATGAAAGAGATATCCCCTGGGTAGGAAATAAATGGAAAAATCGGGTGGAATGTATGAAAATAGTGAAACATCAGACTCAATCATCTAGTAGATATGATTGAAGACTAATTCTGAATTACCTTGATCAAGGACAAAGCAATTGCATTTGGCTTGATTTTTCCTAAAAGAGTTGAGCACAACGTTCTAATGAATTGATGTGGGACAACAAATATTAGAATATCTGCATCTTTGGCTGCTTCAACAACATCTGGCACAGCAACCTGCAAAAATATTTTCATTGCTATCAATGGAAATTTAATATCCAGCTCATCAACTCCTGAAAATATTCTGAATTGAAAAATGACCTTCCACTGTCCGAGCCACTGTCCCATGAATATACAGAGTCAGCAAAATCTTTAATGAGAATTTATTTCCGAATTTGACTTCGGCATTAAGTTTCGCTTTAAAAAATATCACGTGACTGTCGCTACATGTCAAAAGATACATTTTTTCAAATTAATCGCTGAGAATAGTCGTGTTTGTTTGAATTTCAAAAAAGTTTACAAATAAAAGTTGTTTCTATTTAAATTTTTCATATGTTTCTGGAATTTTAACGTTCCCAGACAACTTTTAGTTCTCGATATTTTTTCAATTTCTATAAAATGTTTGTGATACATATTAAAAAAAACGACTCGGATTTCATTCTAGTAGCTTTATCATGCTACTAACTTTGAATTGAAAAAAAAAAAAGATTTTCTTTGTTGTAAATTTGATGTACCCTCTATCATTCAGGAGCGAAATTTTTCAAATTGATTTTTTCGGTACCAAAATGATGCCAGTCATCTATCAAAATAACATTAAACTACTTCATAAGAAGCTGATTCACGGTGGATGGCACATTAGACGTTTCTGCCTTGGATAATTAGCTGTGTTCTATCGACCTAAAATATTCTCAGTGTTGCGACGTTGCCACTTATATTGAAAAGTAGCAACAACTTTCATTCTTCAAATGGGACACCCTGTATATTATTTCATATTGAGATTCTCCCTGAAGAGCCGATTTCATCGAATTATCACACTTGGGGTCTAGCGGGAATGATAATAAAGATATAGGGTGTGAAAAATCGAGATTTTTCAACTTCAAGAATTGTTTGTGTCGAAACTATTCACAATTGGTCAAAACGGTTTTCATGTCCCTATCTCAACTGTTTATGTACCATCAATTGATATTTAATTGAAATATATACAGTGTGGTCAAAAATCTCAATTCTGAACCACCCTGTATATATTTCAATCAAATATCAATTGATGGTGAATAAAATGTTGGAATAGGGACCGACTTGACCAATTATGAATAGTTTCAACACAGTTCTGGCAAAGTTACAATTACAATAAATCAAAAAATATTAAGAACTAAAACTTGCAATAGAAAGTTATTCTAGACACATATGTGTAAAATTGGAATAGTAACAACTTTTCTCCTTAAGCGTTTTTGAAATTGGAACGAATAAACCTATTTTCAGTAATTAATTTGAAGAAATGTTACTTTTGACATGTAGTAAAGTCAGGTGACGCCGACCGCACAACTTGATGCCCAGGGCGAATTCCAACATAAATTATCATTAACAGTTTTTTCCATACTTCCAACTTTTTATGAATGACACTGTATAGGCTTATTTTTATTCAGGCAATACAAATCAGCTTTAGTTACTTCAATTATCTTTTAGTTCATGACCTTCTGTTATAGTTGTTTATTGGCATTGAAATTACTTTCCCTGTAGCAAAACAGAAAAGGAATTTTACAAAAGTATTAATAATTCTAATCTTATTCAAGAAATCCAGATATTGTTAACATTCTGAGTTTGCATAATATGATAGCAAATTAAATTCCTCTTCAAATTCAAACAACAATCCCAATAATATGAAATAAGAACAATATCTAATATGACTAATTAACAACAAATGATAATTAATATTACTGAAATGCATCCATATTGGTCATAATAATAAGATAATGGCATCTAACAATAGAAAGTATTTCCAAGGTGAAAATATTATGTTGAGATATCTAGACATTTTGAAATTACAAGCATAGTTACAAGTAAATAGGTAATATCAATTTGATCAGAGCATGCAGAATTTGAAGGTCAAACTAAAATGATAATTTCGAATCTCAATTCACAGGGAAGAAGGGACTTTTAGCAGACAATATGTTGAACTGATATTATTTTTTGTACACCATGATGTATATGCAAAATATGCAATAAAAAATATAAATAGTTCATTATCAGTATTTCTATTTCCAGTTAGATATTTATCAAAATTTAAAGAAATCTACTCTATACATGATCAATTGATTGTTGTTTCTAGTCAAACCAGGATATTCAAACTATCAAAATATCTAGCATGGACAATTGAAAAAACATTATGGAATTTTTTTATTAAATCTGGGAATGAATCATATTTGATGATTACTCAGAAAATAATGTTTTGCTCCTGTTATATAAATATATATAAAATATAATATATAAATGAATGTGATGAATACATGCTAATCTCGATGCTAATACTAATAATGATGATATACAGGTGATAAGATGTTAACAAGGATATTAATAATAATTTTGTGTGATTTCCTCGGTGATTTCAACAATTATTTATTTTATAGTTGATGATGCCTAGGTATTTAGGTATAGGTTCGAGGATAGGTTGTTTTTGACACATATATTCTCGAATTTTGCATATCAAGATAGAAAAATATACCTACTCACCACATTGGGAGGCAACTTGTGCCCTGGCAAATATTTTACATTCTCGTGAGTTTCGTTGATGATTTCAGTGAGCTTTTTTCCATCAACTATTTCTTCATAAACATACATGGTGACTCTGTCGTCCAAATTTTTGAGTTGGGCTGCATTGTTACCCACAATTTTTGCAATGGCTGAGCCCCTAAAATCAACATCTGTTACTTATTTCAAATTTCCAAACATATTTATTATTATTATATTAACGTAACGAGAATGTGTGCTACGTATTTACGAAATTACATATATAAATTCAAGGCTGCTTCATTATCTAATACAACTTAAAATAAGAAGTGAGGTTAAATTGATTGATTGAATAATTTCTGAATTAAAAGATGCAAAATATTATCATAATATCTAGTTACCAGTTTCCACTGCCAACGATGCACACTTTTTTGGGATTTGTGCAAGCCATTTTGAAGATATTTTACAAAAAAAATATCAGATTCTCGTACACAAATTCACAGACCAGCAACAGCACCCTTCAACAGACACAACGAGACTAAATTGGAATTTCAAATTAATGAATAGCGCTAAAATAAATAATCGTACTTGCCATTCTGTATATTTTATCATTATATAATATTTCTCTCTTTGTCACACTCATTACATAATGCAAGAGCACAAGTGACACGAAACGCACGAAACGATATCACAGAAGATTCTGTGACGTTTCCTCCGACTTATCATCGAAGCGGTGTTGCCAGTTGACAGAGAAATTTCCTGACCAACTTTCACTACCAGAGAAAATAGATATTTGTGTTGCCTCAATTCCGACGCGTAGCGGAGGGAGACAAAAATCAGTGAGCTGAAATCCAATATGTTTTTTCTGTGACAGGAAAACGACGAATCAATATTGAGAAGTATAGCACAACAAAAGCCATCAACATTGTATATACAGGGTGTAACATCAATAACACGAGCTTATCATTTCCCACGTCAAAATACCCCCTGGTACAAAATTTCGTGCGAATTATCTATTATTTGCAGAAAGTTATTCTCAAAAAACGAACCAAACAATTCAATTTGGACACTCTGTAATTCCGAAATGAAGCATTTTCGGACACAAGTTTCTCTAGACTTTTTTCCTAAAATTAATGTCTTTGGAATAAGTCACTTGAATAGTCCAACGTTACATTCTTTATATGTGATATTTATCTGGGAAAAAGGCACTCACTTTTTTTCCGTGGAAAAAAGTGATTTATCAAAAGAGACATTTTATAACCTGTCAACAGAAATGTGATTTCAAACTATTTCCCCGTCACAGAAAAAATCGAATTGTGTGTTACTTTCGACAAGTGTCAAGTGTGATATTGGGTCCTGTAGTTATTTAAGTACAGGTAATACAATGGCAATACATTACTTAAATTTCTCTGTCAACAATTGGCAGTTACGAGTTGATTCTCGATGCTTGTACAATATTTTGTAGACTGAACAAACTCAATTCGAACGATTTGAGATTGTTCCTTCCTAATAAAGAATCATTCCAGAACATTAGCTTGGACAGGCAGAGTGACGTCAATACACTCCCAAAAAATATGAGCCACGAGTATAGTTTATCAATCTTGAAATAGAGGAGCACTCTTTGGCAACACTGTACTGGGATTCGGAGACAGCTGACACTTGACTGTACGACTGTCACTATTGTCAGGTGTTATTACCAGTGTTGCCGTTTGCCTGATAATTGTCCGTTTTACGGATAATTTCAGGTGCTAGCGGATCCTTTTCGGATCCAAGAAATTATCGGATAATTTCGGATCATTCGTAGTGAGTTCGGATGATATTCGGAACTTTCAACTTCCAAAGGTTTGTGGTTTGAGATTTGTCTTCTTCTTCTTACTCCTAGCTCAGGACAGGAATCAATATCTGTGTTCCACAGTTTTACGTTTTATGATTTTGTAATGCCATTGTCATGTGTCTGTTGCGTAATGTGTTATGGTTCCTGTGGCCTGTGGGCCTGTGCTGTAATGGGTTTTGTGATGTGAAGAATTATTATTTTCGCCGTTTGGACTTTCAGCTGTGCTATATATTAGTTCAAATCAAAAATCAGTCAATAGAATAGTCTCTACCTAGTATCTCTAGTTTGATATGAAAATGTGCTGTGGTCTCTTCTGCGATATTTTTGATATTCAATATAATGTATTTATACATATTGTAGGTATACAATAATTTGTCAGGAATAACTGCTCTTATTTTTTGATCACCTTAATATATACTCTTATACTTCTTTTTTCTAAGCGTATCGATCAGGACCTAAGCACTGAACTTTGACAGATGCATTGTTTCTGCTTTTGCACCACTTTTGCACTGAGTGTGTATCCTTCCTGCTACGTTGAACATTTCCTAAAATCGGATAATTTCGGATAATTTGGTAGTAGCCATCGGATAATTTGGGATTCTGGCTCCGGCAACACTGGTTATTACTGTCTTTGGTTGACATTGATATCAGCAATTTGTTTATTTTCATTTTTTATTCTAATAATTAATAAAAATAATATTAGTAATGTTCATGGGTGTGTAAGGAGAATGTTCACTTTTGTTTACTCGTGAATTTTCAAAAATAGTGCACAATGGCGACATTAAACCAGAGCCTTCCAGTTTCCGAAATTCTCAAATCCAAAACAGAAATCGAAGATGAACCAAAGAAAAAGTCGAGAGAAGACTGGCGGAAAGCTAAAGAGCTCGAGGAAGCCCGAAAAGCTGGTACAGCTCCGGCTGCAGTGGATGAGTCTGGCAAAGACATCAATCCCCACATTCCACAGTACATTTCATCTGCACCATGGTACTATGGTACCAGCGGGCCTACATTGAAGCACCAAAGGCCCCAAGAAGAAAAACAGAAACAGTTTTCATCGATAGATGAGTGGTATGATAGAGGAGTTGACACAGTAAGTTTCCACAATTCACAATAGAAAATTAGGTAAGTAACATCTGTATTATGTATTTTTAGACTAAAATTGTGACAAAATATCGTAAGGGTGCATGTGAGAACTGTGGTGCAATGACACACAAGAAGAAAGATTGCATGGACAGACCCAGGAAAGTAGGTGCTAAATTTTCTGGGCAACACATAGCACCAGATGAGTTTCTGCAAAAGAACCTATCACTTAGCTTTGATGGCAAAAGAGATAGGTGGAGTGGTTATGATCCTTCTGAACACAAGGCTGTAATTGAGGAATTCCAGAAAGTTGAAGATGCTAAAAGGCATTTGAAAGCTGAGAAATTGAATGCCAATGAGTCCTCAGATGAGGAAAAAGATGAGGATAAATATGTGGATGAAGTTGACATGCCTGGTACCAAAGTGGACAGTAAACAGAGGATAACAGTGAGAAATTTGAGGATTAGGGAAGATACAGCCAAATATTTGAGGAATTTGGATCCTAATTCTGCATATTATGATCCTAAAACTAGAAGTATGAGGGAAAATCCTGAATCTAAAAGAGATGAAACGTAAGAACTCAAATTAAATAAATATAATGTGTCAAATTTACTGTGTGTATTGTCCTTTTTAGGTATAGAGGAGAAAATTTTGTTCGTTTCTCTGGGGATACTACCAATCATGCTAGAGCACAGCTTTTTGCTTGGGAGGCTCATGAAAAGGGAGTTGATGTTCATTTGCTAGCAGAGCCCACAAAACTGGAACTCTTGCAAAAGGAGTATGAGAAAAAGAAGGAGCAGTTCAAGACAAAAATCCAAAGCAATGTTCTGGAAAAGTATGGTAAGTCTGACCTATGATTCTCAAGGGTTTGTCTTCAATATCATTCATTAAAAAAATTGGATATTTTTTTACCACCTTAGACAAAAATAGGTATGCCACTGAAGTAGCAAACGTATGTAGAAAATAATTTGAAATTCTGACTTGAACCCCTAAACAAAAAAGGATATTCACCTGGAGTTGAAGGTTTTTCATTTATTTTCTTATGTTGTTGAGAATATTTTGGAATTCAGACATTCATTATTCAAAACCTCTTCAAAAATAAAGGTAGGCATGCACCTAAGTCACACTTTTTCATCACATGGAGAGGAATTTTCGGGTTCTGAATGTTTTGATGGAGGTAGGTAAACAAGTGTGAAATTTTTGAATTTGTGATATTTTCATTATCAACCTTTCCAGAAATTAATTCCTACGCCACTGAAGTTGTGATTTTGGTTTTACATCGATGTACATACCTACATAGAAAAAGTTCTGTTGATGTGGTGGCTGGTGTCGATTTTTTTATTTTTGACCCCCTAAGAAAAAATTTTTGTACGCCCCTGAAGTCGCGATTTCGTTTTCCAACAAAGAAACAATTGTATGCGCCCCTGTAATATAAATATGAGTTCATGATTAAGAAAACTGCAATTTTTTTCATATTGAAGTTGTGATTTTGGTTTTATATCAACATAATATGTACAGGACTAGTTTTGTTAATGTGAACCCCTCTCAATCTTTTTTGTTTTCCACCCATCAAAAAAGATTTTTATAAAGATTTTCCACGATTATTTTCTATATAGGTTCCAATCATAGTGACAGTGTTGCAATATCTCTTCAATTATACAGGGAATTCAGAAAAAATATATACTTTTTAAATGAAATGCTCTGTATATTTTGATAGATATGTATCCCTTATATCATATATTTGAAATCAGGATGAATTGAGGAATCCAAATCTATCAAAATATACGGCGCATTCCATTTGAAAAAAATATATTTTTCTCTATACCCTGTATATTTGAAGAGATATTGCATCATTGTCAATATGAGTGAAATCTGTATGAAAAATTGCATAAAATCAGCTTCAATTTTTTTCAAATGAGTGTTAAACAAAAAAGATAAAAGGGGGTTCTCATTAATAAAACTAGCCCTGTACATACATTGAGAAAGTTCTGTTGGTGTGGAGGCTGGTGTCGATTTTTTTATTTTTGCCCCCCTTAGAAAAATTTTCTGTTCGCCCCTGTAGTCGCGATTTTGTTTTTCAACAAAGAAACATTGGATACGCCTCTGTAATATAAATGTGAGTCTACTTGGGTGAGAAAATGCAATTTCATTCATATTGCAGTTGTGATTTTGGTTTTATATCGACGTACATACATCGAAAAAGTTCTGTTGGTGTCGAGGCTGGTGTCGGTTTTTTTATTTTTGACCCCCTTAAAAAAAGTTTGTACGCCCCTGGAGTCGCGATTTCGTTTTTCAACAAAGAAACAATTGGATACGCCTCTGTAATATACAGTTGAGTTTTCTCGGGTGATAAAACTGCAATTTCTTTCATATTGAAGTTGTGATTTTTTTGGTTTCACATCGACGTACATACATCGAAAAAGTTCTGTTGGTGTCGACGCTGGTGTCGATTTTTTAATTTTTGGCCCCCTAAGAAAAATTTTCTGTACGCCCATTAAGTCGCGATTTCGTTTTTCAACAAAGAAACATTGGATACGCCTCTGTAATATAAATGTGAGTCTTTTTGGGCGAGAAAATGCAATTTCTCTCATATTGAAATTGTGATTTTGGTTCTACATCGACGTACAGGGTGATTCACAATAAATGCCCCTTCCTCCAGCTCAGTTATTTTTGAACCGATTTCAAAATTTGAAATATCATCTTGATTGATTTTCGATAAATTTTTTTTCCGCTACATCAGAAAATACAGGGTGCTCGGAACAAACGATCTACAGGGTACTGTTTGGTTTTTTTTATGGAACACTCTATTTTTGATTGTATTTTTAGATTCTCCCTGAAGAGCTGATTTGGTCAATATATCACACTTGGGGTCTGGCATGAATGATTACAGAGATATAGGGTGTTCAAAATCGAGATATATCAACTTTATGATTGACTGACATTTAATTGAAACAAATACAGGGTGGTGCAGAATTCAGAATCTTGATCACTCGGTATATTATGTCCCAATTAAATATCAGTAGATAGTTAATCAAAAGTTGAGATAGGGGCATGTAAGCCGTTTTGACCAATTATGAATAGTTTCGACACAAAACATTCTTGAACTTGGAAAATCTCGATTTTTCACACCCTATATTTCAATAATTATAACTGCTAGACCCCAAGTATGATGGGTCGTTGAAATCAGCTCATCAGGGAGAATCTCAAAATGAAATAATATATAGGGTGTTCGATAGAAAAAAGTTTAACTTCAGTGTTTTATGGTTTTTGGGGACACCCTGTATGTTTCGAAATAATTTTAAATGGTAGCCTATGTGGACATGCAACTTCCTAGAGAGAAAGAATTCCAAGAAGATAAGTGGTTAGCCCTCTAGAGACCTAGGCGTTACTGGTGGCCCACCCTGTATTATTCAAGTACTTATTTGATATGGATACAAATATTGAAATATTTGTATTCACCTGGTGATTGGTGAACTTGAACACCACAAACTTCACATCTACACAGATTTTCTATGCTTATTCCGAGGGGTAAACCTTCTATGCTTATTCCGAGGGGTAAACCGCGGTGGAATTCTGGTGTACAAACAACTGGAATTCCTTGAATTTCCATGGAATTCCTTGGGTTTCCTTGGAATTCCTTGGGTTTCCTTGGAATTCCTTGGATTTCCTTGGATTTTCTTGGGATTCGACGGGTTAGAATTTTGTTCGGGATCCTGGGATGAACGGTCTCGGGATTTCGGGATCGCGAACCCTAATATCGAGTTGGCATATCTTCATTCCGTAACTGGAGTTGAAACGATCATTTCATCACCAGAGACGTTTCAAAACTACCGTCAGTTATGAAAAATCAAATTACCTGTCAAAATCAGAAAGAAACCATTAACAATCATCTTCGTTATGAAGGGGGAGCGGAACACCTGGAGGCCCCTCCAAAATCCCTTCTGCTAGCCCAAACGGAGGACTACACGGAGTACTCGAGATCGGGCAAGATCATCAAGGGGGCCGAGAAAGAGGTGGCCAGATCCAAATACGAGGAGGACGTGTACATCAACAATCACACTTCGGTGTGGGGTTCGTACTGGCGAGGGGGACAGTGGGGGTACAAATGCTGTCATTCGTTCATCAAGGTAACGGCAATTATTCTGAAAATTCTTGCATCATTCCCCAGTATTAATCCCCTGAATCAACTTGTGATCCCCTGGTGTTCCCTGTAATCCTTTTGAATCTTTAATTCCTTTGAAAGGCCTTTGAAATATCTCTACATCATTTGAAATCCCTGGAATCCATTGGGTATTTTGATGTCTTTTGATTCCTCCTAATACCTGGCAATTATCTTTGTCAACCTGTAACTCCTTGTATATCTCCCTGTAGTTTTGTGGAATCATCTGACATTTTCTAGAAATCCTTTGAAAAAGCCTTAGGTTTTCTTTAATCCCTTCAAATTCTCTATTGTTCCTTCAAATTTCCTGTAATTTGTTCTTTGGTATTCCTGTAAATTGTGTGAAATCCCTTTAAATTTCCTAATTTCTTAATCCACCTGTAATCTCCTGAATTAACTTGTAATCCCAGGTTTTCACTGTAATCTCATGAAAATATCCTGCAATTCCTTCTGAATCTCTGATTTCTCTGAAAGTCCGTTGAAACCCTTGTAAATCGTTTGAAATCCCAATCTACTTGTAATCCCCAAAATTAACTTGTAATTCCTGGTGTTCCCGTAATTTCCCATATTCCAATACCTATGACCATATAGTGATTATGTGTATATTTTTTTTGTAATTCATTTCTTTGGGAGTACCTGTGATTTCTTTGATATCACCTGAAATAACTTCAGAATTGTCAGTAATTCATCGAAATTTTATTCCTTTAGATTTTTCAGTAGTTCATTATCAATTCCCAGTGATTCATTGAAATTACATAAACTTCCTCAAGAATAACCCTGCTGGAAAACTCCTCACGTGTCTTTTGACAACTCTCTCTTTTTTCAAGAACTCCTATTGTCTTGGAGAATCGGGCAAAAATTCGGAAAATTCCAGAGCAGCGGAACTTTCCCAAATCGAGGAAATCGAGGAAAATAGCGATTCAAAGAATGAAAAGTCACAGGATGGCGAGAGCAGCAGCTCAGAGTCTTCTTCTGACGAAAAGTCCAAGAAGAAGAAAAAGAAGAGGGAAAAGAAGAAACTGAAAAAGTTGAAGAGGAAACAGAAAGATTCGAAACTTGCTTTTGAAACTAAGAACACTGTTATGGAGGAGGAAACCGTTATAGCAGATGACAGAAAAAGACCTTATAATAGTATGTATGAGGCCAAAAAACCTACTGAAGATGAGATGGAGGAATATTTCAAGAGAAGGAAGAGAGATGAAGATCCTATGAATCAGTTTTTGTAATAAATTCTAAAATAAAATATTGTACAGTGTTAATTTGATCTCGTTTTTTTGTTATTCATTCTTGTCTTGCAACCTACATTTTAGTTGGAACGTCTTCAAATTAAATATTTCAGGTTCCAGGTAGCACAGTGACGTTCAAATGACGTCCTAATTTGGTCGCAATACTGACCAATTGACGTGAAAAAGAGCTCAATAAGTTTTGTGTACGAATGAAAAAAAGATAACTTTGTTGGGACGTCTTTATGACATACAGTAATATACGTTGATATGACCTCATGAAAAATGACATTTTTTGGTCTCTGATGCTGAGGGAGCCATATACAGACCAATATAATGACCTAAAAAAGACGTCATTATGCCGTAATTTTCCTAACCTGTGCTACTTGGGGTAGGAGTTAGTTAAGATATTCAAATGTTTTATTCAGGACGTCATGATAACGTTCATTTTGAGAAAAACACGAGAATCTCCGTCCTCTTTCGTTCGGGACGTAATCGGAACGTTCCATTCTAGTCATTTCAAAAACGTTTAGGATCGGGATATGTTTCAGCAACGTTTTAAGAAGTCTTAATAGCGTTTCTTCAAGAATCCTGAACAACGTTTCAGCTTGAAAGTTTCTAAAGCGCTGAAGCGAATCAAAAAAAGAAACACCACCCTATATATCGTCAACAAAACGGTATAATAAATACAGGGTGTTTCAGAGTTGCGGTGACAAGAGCCTATATAGGGGACATTCTCCCCAACAATATATGAAAAGATAAGTTCATTATTAACATGGGTCCAAAAATGCTTATTCGGTTTCCATCGAGATATAGGGTGTCAAAGTATAAAAAAAGTAAGGTTATTTAAATCTTTTGGTTTCATGAATAATAATGTGTAATACATTTTTGGACAAAATATAATATCGAAGCATTTTTATTTTTCCTTATGGAGTTCAGAGATATGCCAAGGTATATATGGTATTCTCCGTTTTTCTCGAAAACGAAGCAAGATACGAAAAAAATAGCAACAGAGACAGAAATGTTGTATTTTTAGTGGGTTTATCAAAATGTTCAAGAAGTGTCCGAGAAAAATCACAAGGCGATGATTTTCTATATAAAAAAGACGACTTGCAACTTTTTTCCTGCCTACTAAAACAAATAACTAATTTAATAGATGTTGTGCTCCATTCAAGACGTATTGGAAACTTCGTCGCTGGATAGAAATAATATGTTTTAGGAACCAGGTGATACAAATTCATAGTCTACACCCCTTTTCTCATTTGTTTTTCTAGCTATATTTCTGAAATTTGGATCATCGAATATATAATACAGTATTGTTGAATTCGTTATTTATAATCTCCAACCAATTATGGAATGAAAATATATATAGGATACTCCATTTTAATATCGGAGTTTTAAGTTGATGGCATTTTCAGGAAAACCATAGGATGAAAAAATAAAGTGTATATAGGTAATGAAGTGAGAGAAAAGTACCCTCTAGTGAGCATATTCCATTTTTTCGAATTTCAGAAATATAGCTAGAAATACAATGGATAGGGGTATACCGTCATGAGTCTGCCTGTGTCACCCGGTATATATAGCTCCTTTGCAGGACTTCTAGACATCATTCCATCCAGGAAGTTCTCGACGAGGAACTTCTTAAAATGTGGAAATGGGACAAAAAAATCGAAACACCACCCCACATACCGTCAACAAAACCGTATAATAAACCGATCCGAAATAATTCACATCGTGCAGTCGCAGCAAAAGCTGACCGCCCGCTCCTCCCACACCCACAACTCCCGCAAGTCCCGCGGCAGTCCCGCTACCCCCACTTTGCCCGCCCCTGGAGCCGCCGCCACACACCTGTCGCGCCGCCTCTTCAGGATCTTCACGGCGAACGAACGGGGCCGGCACCTGTACATGTCGAACCAGCAGCGGTCGGCGAGGCACTCGACCGTACGCAGGTACCTGGGGAAGTAGTCGGGACCCAGGTCCGTCCATTTTATGCGGGATCGGCAGTTCCATTCTTGCAGGTAGTCGATTTCACGCTTGTAGCTGAAAAAATTATCGAAGGCTACAACATTTAAGAGGCTGCATGATTTAAGGGGCTACATAATTTAAAAGGCTACATAATTTAAGAGGCTACACGATTTGAGAGGCTACATAATTTAAGAGGCTACATAACTCAAGAGACAACGAAATTTGAGGGGCCACATAAATTTAAAGATCACAAGAGTTGAGAGGCAACAAGATTTGAGAGATTGAAAAGTTCAGTAGGCTACAAATTTTGAGATGCTACAGAACCAAGAGGTCAAAAAGATCAGGGAGCTACCATTTAGGAGGTTACAAAATTCAAGAGGCTACAAAATCCAAGACGCTACAAAATTGAGGGGATTTTACAGAACTTATAATGCTACAAAAAATAGGAGTCTACAATTTCAGAGGTCACGGAATTCTAAAAATATTTCAAGGGGCTTCAAAATTCAGAGACTACAAAATTTTAGAGGCCACAAAATTCACGTGGCCTCAAAATACAAGAGGCTGCAGAATTCGAGAGGCTACACAATTCGAAGAGGCAACAAAAATTGACAGTGCACATTTTGGGAAGCTATGAATTACAGAGAGGCTATGCAATTGAAGAGGCTACATAATTTGAATGACAACAAAATTTAAGATTGATCAAAAAAGAAGAGGCAAGAAATTTCGGGTTTGGTTATATCTCAGATTTTACAAAATTCTCGCAAATAGTTCATTTCGTGGTTGTGACCGATAGACAGGAATGGTTAAGATCAGGGAAACAATCTCCGAACGTATTTTAAGAGGCTGAAAAATTTAGAAAGCTATGATTTTAAGAGGCGACACAACTGAATGGACAACGAAATTCAAGTGACAAAAAAGAAGATGTCGAAATTCCTGGTACGGTTACATTTCAGATGCTACAGAATTTGAGAAACAGAGACATTTTGTGGCTCTCTACCAATCACTGGCACCTCTGGTGAAGGATTCACGAGGCTTGGAGCCGAAGTCAGTCCATTTCATCCAGAATCGGCAGTTCTATTCTTGCAGAAAGTCGATTTTGCGCTTGTTACTGAAAAAAATTAAGATACTACAAAATTTAAGAGGCTACACAATTTAAGAAGCGACACGATTTAAGAGGCTTCGAAATTTGAGATACTACGAATTTGAAACGCTATGCGTTTTGAGAGACTACACAATCGGAAAGGCTAAAAAATTTTAGTGACGAAAGAATTCAAGACGGGACGAAAGTCAAGTGACAAAAAAGAAGCAATGCATTTTCCGGTACAGTAACATTCAAGATGCTGAAAATTTGAGGAATAAAATTTTCAGGCATTCCATCAATCACTGGGTACCTGGTGAAATAGCCACGGGGCTCAGACAGAGAACGGCCAATTTTTTATTTTCGAGAAATATGCAGGTCCATTATTCTTTCAAATGGTCGATTTCAAACTTTGTGAGTGTAAAAAATGGATAGACGAAATTACGAGATTCATAAAGATATTTTTTCTATAAACGTCAAAAAATGACAAGGTTCGTGCATTTGATAACAAACTGCAAAGTGACACTTTTTTTAAGTTTCCTACGTTACCATGATACCTTGCACAAAACAATGCGCGAAGTAAAACAGTGCGCGAAGAACCTACTTCGCGCATTGTTATGTAAAATATATGAAATATTTATATTTCTACTTCATGGACCTCAATCAAGCAAACATTCACGAAATCATTTAATTCTGAATATTCAACTATAACTTAGTTTCATATCTTGGAGCGCACGAAAGGAAATTCCTATTATGTTCGTGGAACATCGTGTGTATCTAGGGAGGATAGGGGGAGGCCTTTTAAGCCAGTTCAACACAATTTTTTTCATCAAGCTAAGCATATTTTTACTTCAGAACTATATTTTTTAACGTTTGTAGAAAGAATGTTGTTTGCAACTCGAGCGCGAAATACTTTGGTCATCTCGACTGTTTTTTAAAAAAAATCAGATCTTGATCACCAAAGTATAGCATTTCGCGCTCTAGATACAAAAATAACTATTATGAAGCAAAGACTACAAAAAACTAGGAGGGTACAAAATTCAATCTGCGACAAAATTTAACAAGCGAAAAAATATGAATTAGAGAGGAGATACGTTTCATAGGGTGATAAAACTCGAGAGGCCAAAAATTAGAGCAGCAAGGTTGACATACCAATAAGGACAAAACTATAATGATGCTTCAATTCAAGAGGTTGCAACTTTAATGAGGGTATAAAAGTTGAGAGCAATCTTTCATCCGTATAGGGTGTGACCGACTATTGATGTTGTATTGTTATTTCAGCTGGGAATATCAGTCACCCAGGCAAAAAAAAAGAATTTTCCCGTTATTCCTCTTCAAAAGATAAATAAATGTCTCGCTTCCCGATAAAGTATATCCCTCGTCAAATAGGTAAAGCCGTTGTGCTCGATTTTCGTGTGTGCAGAAGAGAAAGGCGATAAAAGGATGTCAAAAATGTGCAGCGAAAAATTAAAGCTCGGACATTTAGGTACATGGAACCATACCGAGTATCCATCATCCAGTTTGGCAGGACAACGGACGATGACTGGCGATTTTTCTATTTTTTCTCTTATCGCACCAACACTTTCCAGCTTTTCCCTCTGGAATATTGACCGGCACTCGTTCCATCCCAGCGAGCACAAACATCCCTGGGATGTTTTGGGATGTTTTGAAAATGTTGGCATGAAGATGTTATTTTGAGACGTAATATGAACTGACCAAAGAGGTCTTTGAAGGATATTGAAGTATTGTTTTTGTTCTTCTGTGGCATTTCTTTGTCTGCCTACTGAGAGGTATCTCTGGGATGTTTTGGGATGTTTTAGAAATGTAGGCATGAGGATGTTTTTTTGAGGCGTAATATGCACTTCCCAAAGAGGTCTTAGAACTCTTAGAAGGATATTGAAAGTCGAGTTGAAAGTATTGTGTTTGTTCTTTTGTGCCCTTTCTTTGTTTGCCCCACCACAACGTCTCATGCTTACGTCACAATACGATGAATTCTGATTTGTTTTCGATTTTGTTCTTCTTGTTCGCAATTGGCATTCGTGTTTGCAGCGTGTCACGCTTACATCACGCTGCTAACGAACAGAAAGGAATTTGGTGAAATTTATTATGTTAGAAGACTTATTTAGTTTGTAATGATGACCATCAGATGCAAGATGTGTTGTTCGGTGCCTCAATGTAATCAATATATAAAAGTACGAATTCACCAATACACAGCTTCTCCGCAGTTGCAAAATTATGCATTGTGGAGAACATTTCAAAAATATTGGGAAACCTTTTTCCAATTATATGCCTGTGTGTAGTAAGCACTACTCAGAAACCGATTAAGTAGGTAATTTCATATCAAGAAAATATTTTTAATGCATTTTTCCATTCATGGGAAATGGAATCCTAATGCAAAAGTTCATTTTGACAAAAGGCTTCAGAAAAGTACCTCGAAAATGTTTTTTTACAGCGATTTAATGTGCGCAAGACGCGTTGAAAATGTTCTGTTGTGTCCATGAAAAGGCTTTAAAAAGAACTAGGGAGAAGGTAGTTTTGTGACATATCAAGGACATCTCGATAATTGCCGCCTGCGGCGGACATTGGCTGTTCTATAATAGTTCTATTCATGTGTGAACAGAACATCGCAGTGGAGGTTCAATGTCTCGAAATCTCGTACTTTTAACATCTCTGAGATGTTTTTGTGCTCGCTGGGATACTTGGAAAAAATTGGACATTTTTTTTGGAATACACGAAAATAAATTCCCTATTATGTTCGTGAGTACCTTGAAAGGGAGATGAGAAAAGAAAGATTTTGAACTTTCTGAAGTTATTAGCACTAGGGAATACTTCTTTATTCAAGAAACTCCAATGCTTTGCCGATCTATAGACAAAGGACATTTGGTAAAGTGTTGTTCGACATCTCTTGATAGGTTGCGGAGTGAACAATTTTCGGGTAGATTTCCGGAATAACTCCGATTGAATCAACACTTGATTAGCAATATTATTCCAATATTATAAGAAATTTGATAATACAGTGTACCGAAATTCTTCAATGAAAAAAAAAAAACAAGAAAAATTGTTGGAAATATTTTTTAATTCCATAGGCGTACTGCTGTGGGGCGTAATAGCTTCGATCGTATGAAAATGGATATGTTTCGAAAATTTTCCTATATTAGTTCAAAATGAATTCTCTCCCTTTTTGATTATCATAATTTTATTGTAGGACGTTAGATGAAGGTGGCAGAGGATCCTAAACCTTTTAGACTGTAAATGTTGATAACTTAAGATTGACTTAACGGAATCCTGCTAACAAGGTCTGGTTCAGTAGAGGAATAAGGTTCGGGCATGGACTCCTATCAAAGACTAACCGTGTTATTCCCATTTCCCTGACGCTCTCCACGTGACTCTTCACCGACCAAGCTGGCTGCTCGTCGATGGTCTCGCCCAAATCACTGTCCACGTAAAAATCCAGCGCGCCGCCGCTGTTCGTCCCCCGCCTTTTGCCTCCCCCTGTATTTTCTTCTGCGATGGGGTCGCCGATGCTCATGTATCTGGCGTTGTACGCCGCCCCCAGTACTTCTTCCAGTACGGCACTGGGTATTTCCTTGCAAATCACCTGCCAAGAAAATATCGGTTTTTTATTAATGTCAAAACTGTAAATTTCTTTGTGTTAACGGCTCTGCTATTAACCTTACATTTAATAGGTCGCGTGCACGAAGACCGACCCTGGAGGCAAAATATTGAAACACAACCTCATTCTTCTGTGAATTATTGAAACACAACCTCATTTTTTCATTTGGTTACAGAGGAATCAAAAGGTTGAAATAGTTTTTCACAATATTTTGGCATTCGAATCGTGTTTCTTGCGTTATTCATTAATGCAAGCATGCCTTCGCATTGTGCTGTTGTACAATGCACAAAAAATGCAGCAAGAGACTAGGGAATATGATTTTTCAGATAAATAGTAATCTCACATAGTTAGCATTATGAAATTGTTGTCATTCCTTATTAAAATTCCTTCTGCCTTCTGCCACTTCTGCAATACAAGCTAATGCTGCTAATAGATTGAAAATGTCTACAACACACACGATCGTCAGCATGTCAGACCAGAGTACTACCGATTGATTGCATGAATCCAATCTTCTTGCATTATTCTAGAAATTTCAGGTATATTTCTATTAGCTGATCCTATTGCAGAAGGAATTCCGATGAGAAATCAGAGAAATAACCAAATTTCAAAAATGAAAACTATGTGAGTGACTATAGTAGGTACTTACTTTTGAATCATAATGTACCATCCGATGCAGTTTTTGTGCATTTTACAACAGCACAATGTGATGGCATTAGCGAATTGATGAATAGAGGAAAAATACGATTCATATGCCAAAATAATTGTGGAAAACTATTTCGATCACTTGTAAACAAATATGTTTTGCCTCCAGGGTCGGTCATCTGACAGTTCTTGCACGCGACTTATAGAGTCACTTGATGTTATTTGTTATGGTTAGATCCGGACACAGCTGAACTTCTACCTTTTTCTATTTTCTATTAGGATTTTGACCTTCTTTTTCCCGCGCTGTTATTCTGTCAAAAATTATATGTTATTGACGCCAAGTGTGATATATCAAAAAAATAATTTTGTCAGAACGACTCGGAAGATATGTTTCTACCATATTCGGTTGACATAATCTGCCAAGACCGAAAACGAATCTTGGTTTGAATGCTCCTGTATATAGGATTTGTAAACTGGTAAATGAATTAAAGTTGGACATCTTTCGAAAAACGTTCAATGTTGTTAAGCAAAGAATATTTTTATATTATAAGTCAATCAAATTAATAATCTATACTGCATATCATCATACAACTTAAAACATTCTAGGTCTGTATTGTTATAGCATTATGTATTTGGGTTAGGTAAAATTCGTTTCACATTTTCACAACTGAATTAATATATACTTTTCTTTTCTTATTTATCACAATAGATGACGTTTCTCTGCTCACTGAAATCTGATTAGTCTTAAGGAAATAATTGTAATCGATTATTGGATTTATTTCTGTAAGATTACATACAAATGAAAGAAATAAAAAAAAAATCTAATAATAATCAGTCACACAATTGAATGAACAATTATTATAACCTTCAATACTACTACCAAATAATCCCACTTGATGATCATCACGTGATATATGCCGTCAGATGGCACATTGCTTAGCATTAAAGCACAACAATAGTTTTAGTGAATAAAAGAATAAGACATATATTCTGCTCTTTGTCTTTTCAATTTCCCTAGTAGCGCCTGACTGTCAGATACGATTTTAGAGGTTAGATTTTCTGTCAAATCAATCTTTGACGTAGATGGAAAATAGGAATAGGGTATATATAAACACCCAATTTATATAGCGATACACTTTTCGTAGAACAATAGTTATAGAAACGGAAAGAATTCATGTAACAACATTTCAATATATGACAAAATAGACAGATATGGATATAATCTTTAGAAGTCCATGGTTTCTCAACGTCAAGTATTGAAACAAAGTCATCTCCACGACAAATCTAGCTAGTTCCTTATTGTAAAACTGTACCAGAGTGATAATGTTTAAAACCTTTTGCTGCATTCACTTTTCACTGATGAATTTTGAATTTGATCGGTATTGAAAACGCCATTCAATGATCACGTTGCAATTTACTTGATTTCCTCAGTTTCGTTCTCAAATTTTCAATTCTATTACGTAGTTTTGCAATCAATCCCTCTTTCTCTTTGATAATTTTGTTTGCATTTCGTGTGATGATAATATTGGATTTTTTTTTAATATTCTGTTTTGTAAATCAATGGAACATCAGATTCCCTCAAACGGATCTTATAAATCTTCTGTTTGAAACCGGGCCTAAAATATAGTTTCATTTCAATCTGCTGTTGTAAGGAGTGAATTTCAATGTATGCACAAATTTGGCGAACCCAATCCATATTTGGATATCTCATATAGATTTATAGATGCTACCAGGGGGATTATTTTGATCCACCCTCTCAGAAGGGCAGTTATTTATTCTTGTAGTTTTTCAAAAAATCCTTGCTGACCGAGCATTTCTCGTTCGTATTTTTCCATCAAATTACATATTTGAATATCTCATATAGAAATGCTCGGTCAGCAAGGATTTTCGAAAAACAGCAGGAATAAACTACCCCTCTGAAGGCGTGGATCGAAATAATTCCACTGGTGGCATCTATAAATCTACACACACTGGCACAATTAGGGGAACGGGCAAAATTTAAACTAAGTTTGACATCAATTTTCTTTCGAACGGATCGCTCGATTCAAATTTTTTTCTTCACGAAATGTAGCTTCATTCTTCACGAATACATCTGAGAAATAATAACCTTCAAACGATGAGTCTTTCCATCATATACAGGGTTGTAAGGAAAGTACGGATTTTTCGGTGTTTTTTTAGACATCCTGTGGACTGAACCACTGATAATTGAAACGATTTCTCAACACCAAATTGGAGCCCAATCTAATCCGAATATTTTCGTTTTTTTATTCATCTTGATATCTCAATTATTCAAGAAAATACAGAGTTTCATAGGGAAGGTGGATATTGGTAACAATTTTACACCTCAAAACTCAAATTGGATCTGAAAATGTGTCGTTTCTTGACTAACCTAACCTAACCATGACTAAACCTCTGCCATATGAGACAGAAGCAGTAAAATCAAAATGTTCATTTTGTTCACCTCGGCGATATAGTCTTTCCTTGCCATCTATTGAATTGGTGCAGATGCGGCTCTCATATGTTAAAAGAACATTGGCCCACTGGTCATTTTCAATTAATGCTACAGCCCTCGCCACATCAGTAGGAGTCAAATCTCTCATGTTGAATTTTCATTATTCAAATTCATGAATTGTGAATCGCTTGACTCTGTCAATAATTAATTACATTAACAAAATAGCCAACGTTGATTAACAAAAATAGCATTTCACCAAAAGAACATTGGAGCAACTTTCATCACCCGTGCATATTCATGAGAGTATTCGTATATGTCTTTAAACAGTAAACCGATAGGTAAAACTGTGAACAATTCTCATCTTGAAGTAAAAATCCTCACAGAAACAAGTTGAAAAACGACACGTTCTCCCCAGTTCGAGTTTCGAGGGGGTAAAATTAATACCAATATCCACCTCTTCTTAGAAACTCTATATTCTCTTGGATAATTGGGATATCAAGATGAATAAAAAACGAAAATATTTGGAATAGATTGGGCTCAAATTTGGTGTTGAGAAATCGTTTCAATTATCAGTGGTTCGCTCCACAGGATGTTTTAAAGAATACCAAAAATTCCGTACTTTCTTCACATCCCTGTATATGATATAAAGACGAATCGTTTGGAGGTGGTCATTTCTCAGATGTATTCGTGAAGAATGAAGCTACAATTCGTGAAAAACAAATTTGAATCGAGTGATCGGTTCGAGAGAAAATTGATGTCAAACTTAGTGTAAATTTTACCCGTTCCCCTAATTGTGCCAGTGTGTATATATGAGATATTCGGATATGTAATTTGAAAGGGAAATACGAACCAGAAATGCTCGGTCAGCAAGGATTTTTGAAAAACTTCTGAAATAAACTACCCCTCTGAACGGGTGGATCGGAATTATTTTACTGGTGGCATCTATAAATCCGAACCGGAAATGCTTGGTCAGCAAATTATATTTTCACTAATTACTTGCAAATCACCTGCCAGGAGAATATCGATTCACTAAACAATAATTGTCAAAACAGCTCTTCATCAAACTATTTCAAAAACAAGGTGCCCCTTTAATTATTATCGATTGAATTTTTCTTTCATGCTTTTCAATAGTGACATTTTTAAACCCAGTAACATTTCGGAGCAATTCATCTACTAATACATAAATACTGAATTGAAACTCATATTCTCATTTAAGAAAACGTTGAGAGAAATTTACAAAAAAATCTAGAAAAATTAACTAGTACATACCTTTCCGTCTTTATTGATAGTCCTGGCACAAATGGCAATACCCAAAAACACAACATACATATAATTGATTATGGTAAACAACATGTTGTCAAAAAATTGATTCACAACAAACGGTTTCTTGTTTTAACGTCAATTATCGCTCGTTTACTAGGCATTATTCGTTCTGTTCATGATCAGTAGGCGTGTCCCCACTTTCAGCACGAAGCTAATTCGAATTTGATTTTCAACTCTCATCGTTCACTATACCAGGTGACTACGACTGAGGCATCTATGACGCAAAAAGACACAGATCAATTACGTCACTTCTGATTATGACAGTTTTTCTGTGACGGGAGAAAATTTTGGCATTTCATCTCTGTTGACAGGTTATAAAATGTCACTTTTCATGAATTACTTTTTTCCCGTGGGAAAAAACTGAAAAAAGTGAGTACTTTATTCTCGAATATAAATCACATATGTATACACTGTTGAAGGCTTTTGTTGTGCTATAGTTCCGAATAATGAGTCAATAATACCGTCTCCGAGAAAGAACTGCAAGTCCTTTTATCTTCCATTCGACCTCGCGGTTACGTTACTAAACAACCACTGAATTCGCAATTTTTTGAAATCAAATCACGGAATTAGACTGACAGAAGTGACGTCAGATATTTGATCACTTCAAAAGAATGATAAGATGCCTACAACGCAGGTGTCCCTATTGTTGACAACTTAAAATTTCACGTGGATAATTCTTATAAAGATTTCAAAATAATGTAATATCTTCTCAATATTGATTCGTCACAGAAAAGAAAATAGTGTATTATACACGGCAAAAATATTAGATTTCAGCTCAACACAACCTGGAGCTAAAATCTAATACTTTTTTCCCTTGTATAATAAATAACTAAAATACCCTCCTGAGTACAACGGTGACGATGAAAATACTTAAAATAACTCCAGAAATATGGAGAAATGTGCGTAGACATTTTGAAAAGCGCTGAAACTTCTGTATAAATGGTTCACATTTCGAATTTTTCATGAACAGATTAAATTTAAGTAATTATAAGTGTAAGTGTTTCAGCATGATTTTCATTAACTGAAAAATAGCACTCCAAAATATCTCTTCTTTGTTCCAGTGGATATGGCATCGTGGGAAAATTGTCGAAATTTTGCGCACTTATGTCACTGGAATGTTGACCAAATGTCAATTCACTTATTCATCATCTCATTCTATTTCAACCATATAGCTAACTTGGGCCAAATATTAATATTTAATTTTGCTGATATTTCGTCAAGCACTCGATAGAATAATATATGGAAAGTATATATTTTCAAAATCAGGAAAGATAGCTCTTTCGAAATATCTGATAATATACAGGGGGTTCCATTTGAAAAAAAAAATTTTTTTCACATACCCTGTATATGAAATGATAAAATCAAGCAGAGAACACATTTTCCAGAAGGAAATGACATCTCATTCAAGTAACTTTTTCCAAATTTCAAATATCTTTTTTCGTTTTCGAGATATCAGCTGTTGAAGTCGAGAAATCCATAGTCAATCACCCGTACTGATAACAAAAACTCGAGTTTGTCATGAAAACAAGAACTTTTTTGATAACACGTTTAGTTTTCAATAAAACTTGATCGATTGCCAATTACATTGATGTATTTGATGTTGAAAAATCAAGGTGAAGAATCAAATGGTAAAAGAAAATATATTTCTGAGGTGTTTTCAATAGTTTTTCCTAAGAAAAAAGGATTAATTGGTTTGAAAATTTGGAATGGAAATCATATATCTCACAAATAGGTTATATGACTTCATGAACATATTGTTAGGTTATATTTTTATATCGTTATGCATCATATTATTTTATCTGATTTAAGAGAGAATAAGTATCAATTCTCAATTTCAGAGGATTTTCTTTTTTCATGCTCTCCTTTTGGATGTTCAACAGATATATAATTCAATGTTCGACGTGGTAAATAGCAAGGTATACATATTTTTTTCTACTCACATAACTAGAATGGCATTTAGCGTACGGATATTCGAAATATTAAACACGTTACCATGGCAACACGATTTCTTAAACACATTACCATGGCAACGCAGTTCATTAAACACAGCTTCAGTAATTTGAGACATGTCTGGCCTGTCAACTGTATTAACTGTCAACTGTTATTTTCGAATTTTTTATCAGAATTATCCAAACAATATTCGTTTGTATCAGAATTCTTCATCAAAAATATATGCGAAAAGTAGACGAAAGTGAAATCGAAGGGAATGTTCTGGCATTTGCATATCTCCAAGAAGTGTAAAAATGAAGCATCCATCTTTGAGAACAATTTATTTATTCTGCGCTAAGCATGACAATAAAAGTGAAACAAAGGTTAGTAAGCAATGGACTGGACACATCTACAACCAATATCACTTATACGTGTCTCGCTGGTTGCATGCAGTTGCATGTATTATGTTCTCAATCCCTATTCCTTTCGAATTATTTTGTAGGTTAGCAGGAATTGCAGGTAAGTTAATGTAATTTTCGGAGTTCGTAGAAAAATCATAGTATGTAACGCGTTTATAAACTCTTCTAGACACTTCGTGCTTAAACTACTCGTTACTAGAAGGACGTTTAAAACACTTGTTACATAATATACTTTTATCTGAAGGAGAATGCAAAGATTTTACTTCAAAATTCTTATCGTGTGTGTAAAATAGATATAATTCAATGTTCGTCGTGACATTCAGATTCAGCCAGGAAAGTAGTTGGTTTCTGTAGAATAAACCGAGAAAGAATTGATATTTTCATAACAAGGAGAATGCGAATTCTCAATCTATATCTTTATGAATGTATCCTTTTTTTATGGTCATAATTTTATCTGAGAATATTCCAATTCATTGCCTTGAGAATGTTTCAGTTCCAACTATCTGGGTCTTTCGGTTTCCCCATGGCAGAGCCAGAAAAACAGGCACCCTGTATCATGGTCAGGATTTAACTCGACCACCATGTATTCTAGGCAATCAGTAAGAGATCATGGAGTGCGTAGGTATTTACGAGCCTTCCTATGGAAAATTGGAAAAGGTTCCGGAATGGTTGAAATAAAGGATCGCGCTTTACTACTCCTTTTCCATTTCCATTCGATCTAATCAAGGATGCCGAGAGAAAGAAACGCTAAAGGGATATCGGGTTATCCTTGGAGATTGACACCAGGTGCGCGAATCATGACTTTCGCCGAGAAAATGAGAAAAATGAACAATGGGGTGTGTGGAAAATGGAAATCAGGAAATCTCTCGCTTCCTGATGCACAATCTGCGAAGGTTGGGGTTGGAAAGCATTCGTGGGGTGATTAGATTGCTTTGATGAATCCACCAAACAAAAGAAAAAGTAATATAAAAACAAAATTCTATGTGAGCAATGAGCCAATTCTTTATTTCTGATAGACAACTGCATGAACATTTCTGATTGCATACTAACTGCAGATAACAGAGAACACAACACACCACTGAAGAATCAGATGATGAGGATGATCTTTGAATATTCGCATCTTGACTAGACTTGACAATGTAGTTTTGTCTTCTTCTGGTAAATCGGCGAAAGTACACAGTTCTTTGGAGAACTACTTTTGATGATGACAAGTATAATATATTTATTTCTGACACTCAATACATCTTTTAATTATAATAAGTCAAAAACTAACAAAACAATTCCTATTCACAGGATGTTATTCAGAGCAGTAGGTGAGCAGGAGTGAACAGATTATTTCAGTATCTTCTTCTTCTTTTGCATTTCTAGGAACTTAGGAATTAAACTGTTGCTTCTGCCTCAAAACGCGAATTTCCTTATTCTAATGGGAATTGAACCAAATCGGAAAATAGAAGGATGTTATGGGCAAGTTCAATTATTCTTGTTCTCAATTCATTGTTGGGGAATGTATTATCTGATGTACCTACACATTTTTGTTGAGTTATATAGATATTCAATGTTTCCTATGAAGAAGGAAAAACACTGCAACCGAAGCGGAAGTAAAGAAATACAAATGATAATTTCTGCGCATAAAGGAAAGCTCTGGAACCATTGAGAGAAAGTATGACCTCTTAGAATTTTGCTGGCATCGAGTCAGACGACGAAATCATTATTCCGAATGTTTTGTATTTCACTCTTTCGGTCCATTTGCTAGAAGAATTGATACGGGAAAGCTGGCATTGTGATACCGTATTTCCTTCAAGTGAAAACGTCGACGTGATTTTTCACAAATCAGAAAGCAGTGGAGAGTAAACTGCATTTCTAGAAAGGGTTAGGAATATATTTTTTTTTACGTTTTGGTTCCCACGAAAAGGGATATCCTGTAATGTTGAGAGAACATCGTGAGAACCAAGGGAAATAAAGTAGGAAATTGGTGTTCTTCTTGAATTTATATGCCTCGGGAACACCTCCCTTGGCAATGTGTTCCAGAGCCTTGCTGTTCGTTGGATGAACGAGTCTTTGGGAAGAGATGTTCTGCAGGTCTCCAAAGTGACCACGAAGGGGTGCGAAGCCTCAACTCGACGGGTTAATTTCGCGGGGACTGCCAAGAGGGGAACAATTGTTGATGTTTCAGAAGAGCATCTTTCATGAATATATCTATAAAATAGAGCCAGATTGCCAACTTTTCTACGGTGTTCCAGAGAAGTGAGTGAGTTTGTGAGCGAGGCATCACCCACGAGACGAATTGCCCCCATATATGGGAACAGTATTCCAGGAGAGATCGGATCTGAGCCTTATAGATCATAAGCAGCTGACTGGAAGTGGAATAGCTCCTGGCCCGAAAAAAACAAGTTTTTGGGATGCACTTTTAGCAATTGATCTCACGTGATTTTCCCAAGAAAGGTTATTGCCGATAGTAATACCAAGCATCGAAATGGATGTCTGACTCTCCTATTATAAATGCTGGTGTGCCGCAAGAATCAATTCTAGCACCAACATTATTTCTACTCCATATCAACGATTCGTTGGAAGCAACTTCATGTCCAGTTCCAGTACACAGCTTCGCAGATGATAGTACCCTCCATAACGCCTTCTCTTCCAGGGATCCAATACCAGCCAGGCAAATCAGGAATGAACGAGGGAGAAATGTTGACAACAAAAATATGGACTTGGCAACAATTCTCGAATGGGGATCCAATAACTTGGTA